CTATATCGAACGGACTCTTTTGTTCATACCGTTTTTCACCTTGTGACTTGACCTGTTCCGGAATCTAGACCCGACCAAAAAACCTGCCCTCCTTGAGGTGAATGGGAGAACGCTCGAGGTTCACCACCAAGATTCCTCCACAAGAGCCGTCTTCGTCTGAGCGTACGACGCTGGAAGGCGTGATGAACCGGCTGTTCGGCGAGTAGCTCAAGAGACCTCCTGTTCGTAGAGTCTCCGACGGGATTCCCATACTGACGAAAACATACACGTCACTCTCTAGTGGTATTGTCGTTCCTTTTCTCACTTTACACGGAAGACTCAAGACGCGAACGAGGACCTCGAAGTGGCTTGTCACATACTAATGTTGGTATGGTGAAAAGGAGATCCCTGAATCTGTCCATATTCCCATAATTAAACTCGAGGGACATGCTTGAATTAATCCGTGTGGACGTGGAGGCGTGCTCGGATGAAAGAGGAGGGTAAAAATAAGAACAGCAGGATGAATCAGAGTTCAGTCCTCGTACGGTACAGTGCCTATCGGCAAGACAACGACCCCCCCTTCCTTGATCATCCACTTCACGGAACTCCACGACGACCTTGAAGGAGACTCCTCGGTGTATTCCATGACTGGCTGACTAGGGATTCGTGACGTGGCTCTTTATTGACTTGAGAAAACGACTTTGACCGGGAAGGCTCCCCCAAGATCACCTTCTTCGAGAGATTATGGATCATGAAGAATGGCTCTTTCTTCCCCTTCCTTCACATCGAGTCCCCGCCCGTGTAACCAGAAAGTACCAAGCAGCATCCCTACCTCTACTCTGTCCAACTTTTCTCCAATCGTACTGCCCATTTCGCCTCCACCTTTTTCCCCCGCACATCCCGTGTATGGAATGCGCTTACCCTTATGTCTTCCCTTCATTGTATGATCCTTAACTCTTCAAATCCAACACTGCCCGCTCTCTCCCTTCAGGTAAAGAGCCTTAGGTTTTTTCAATGGGTATTATTCATATGAGCCCCACACTCCAGTTGAATTCTCCGCTCTTCTGGGTAGTGCGTCAATGCATTTTTTCCTATGTCGCTCTCACCTTTCCCTCCTACCTTCCCCCCGGTCCCCCTCCCCTTTTCATGCTCGCAGTTCTTTTTGAGAATTATAGGGTCAGCCCTTTGCGAGCTGCTCCACCGAAAAAAAGCTCCGATAAGTTTCATTCCGTTTTGCTGAGCGTCCGTCAATTTCGGGTGTGAATCAGGCATTAGGAGTTCGAAGTCGGTATCTTCCGCATCGAGGACCGAAGGGCAATTCGCATTGACACCGGATCCGGTGTCTGTTTGTGTTTTACCCGCTATTGTAACCTCCATTCCAAATGGGTCATGAATCTCAAGATTCCCCATGCATTGGAATGCATGGTGATCGTGCGGGATGCTTTCACTCAATTTGGTCTTCGGGAAGCTTTCTAGATCACGAGCTGGTCCCGGTCCTAGTATGTCTGATCCGAGGGCTCGGTATCCTTGTCGAGGCTCCCTGAGTTTGTCTGCGAGTCTGTGACGTCCGCGAGAGATTATAAGTCCTCAGGGTTCGATGCGATAGAAATTCCGGAACCCCGGTGAGGTGCAGGAATTCTCTATTTCGTCGAAGAAGTCTATTATTGTGAAGGGGATCTCCACATCCGTCATCGATGAATGTTTCTTCCGGATGAACGTCGTGAAGCTTTCCTCCGGCAGCCGCTTGCGACGATGAGATTCGTTGGGTGACTTCCTCGCCCCCCTCGGGAAACGGGTGTAGAATTGAGGTTTGGGAGTCTTCCGATCGACATGGGGTCCGACTTCAGTGGCGAACCAGGTCTTCATGTCTTGGTCCACACCACGATAACCTGGGCGGATGACCGTCTGTTTCGTCCAAACATTGACCGTAGCGTCCATTTCTAGTAACTTTATCCGTCTTTTAGGTTTTCCTGGGTCAAACTGCTGGATGTCTCTTACGCAGATAAAATTCTACAACAGGGTAGCTGAACTTTCTACCGTAACCACGTTCGGTCCGACTGTGGGACTTATCGGAATTGGGACCACTGTTGGGACTGTTGGGTTTTCTCCGTCGCCTTCCGTACCACCGCCGCCACCAATTTGTAACGGAACAAAGGAGGTCGATAGCGAAGATTCTTTATTCCTACACCTAGCAGCCTTCTATAAACATATAGTAGGGGAATAATCTTGCACCACCAGCGCCGCATCGATATATAAACATATCGGAGTCACCGATTTCCCGTGATCCGGAGGACGCCTCGAGGGACAAAGAGGCTGGGGACCACCGATCCCGCCGGGCTAAAAGAAGGGCCGTCTTCCACCGGAGCTCATCGAGAGACGACGGAACGCCAAGAGGTGACACAAAATTCGCGGCAGCAGGCCTCGCTCGAAGTTTTCCCTGCAGCAGGGTTTGGATAGTCATTGCTAGCATCGGGAGTCCCGCGCTTCGTGTCAGCTAGGCGGTCACCCATCTACCCACCCCTGGCAGATGTCAAGAAGCTTGATCGGGCGAAGACTGAGCAAAACGGAGCGAGCCTCCATCTCCAAGAGCTCGCTTGGTCAGTAGTCAGGAGCTGATAACTCCAGAGTTTCAGCGATCCTTAGTTGAGGCTGGTAGGATGAGCGATCTTCCATCCTGAAACTTTGCTCTGTCAGATCCATCTCCGCCCTGAATGAGTCTTTTCTCTAAGGAACCCAGGACTAACTATCAGAGATGCATCGATTCTCATGACATGGCTCGTTTTATTTTTGTTTATCTGCTCTTATACACAATCGCCACAATACGCAATTTTTCCTTAGTTGAGGCTCAGGAGGGTTTTCTTGTTCCACTACAAATATTGCTATACTCGTTTGGTAGCGTTGTTATTTGATGTTTTAAGTAAATATTTTATTATTTTCTAGTAAACGAAGAGGATACGCCGCCATTTTCCATCTATACACAATCGTTCCAGTACAGAAAAGTACAGAATTTTGTACATATTTTGTTTGTCAATTTCGTTCGTCGTTCCATTGCTGTAATTGCTGTATAAGATCTTCTCGTTGTTGTTGAGTTCAAGTCGTTGATTTCGCAGCTGCTGTGGTTTTTCGTAATCTGAACTTTCGGATTTTTTCTATCGCGTCGCTCTCGTTGCTGCCGCGGCGGAATGTGTTCTCCGCACTTTTTCCCGAGTTTTCCATCTGAATAAAGTTCTCTCGCTCGCCGTCTCCACCGTCTAAGACTAAGTTGCATCAGATTCTTCAGGGATGTTCTCAAATCATTCGATCAATCAGTCGAAAAAATCAATGCTCATTAAACCAAATGCTCGAAGAAATAAACCACCTTCCAACCGATATTTAGTCAATAGTAGCTCGATAAGTTTCAACTTGCTCCTCTTCCGCGAGAATTAGAGGGGGAAAGGAGAAGTCAGCTCAGACTTTACTTCGGATTGTACTCGTATATACAACAAAGTCATTGCACGGCACATCCAAGGGAAACCTCGCTCCCAGCAGCAGACTAGGACGCGATTCGCACCAGCGTCAGAGATCACCGGACATTGTGGAGGAAGTTTCCGGTTGCCTTCAACAATTTTTCCGTGTCGTCAGGCGCGGAAGACGGCGCCTCTTCGGAGCCGGCAAATTTTCCTAACTTCTAGCAGATCGCGATAGGCCAACAACAATCAAGAGATGCAAGATTACTGTTCACAGACTTCCAACACGTTGGCGGTACGCTCATCCATGTACATGAGCTACACGTCTCAACAGTCCTGCTGCACCTCTGGGCACGCGCCTCACAACGCGTACCGGCACGTTGCAGCATCCTTGCGACCGAGTAAGACCATTGTTAATTTTGCTCCAAGAATTCGACAGTGATCAACGTAGAATAATGCAGAGGTATGAATGGATAGATTTCAATCGGAAGGTATCATAAACGACGCTTCAATAGATGTTTTTCTCTTTACATTGTATGTGAGATGGTGAATTTTGGCGAGAATCTTCTTCGGGTCGGAAGACGATATTGTATGTATCTGTCCGTGTTCGTTCCTGTATGCGACCCGTGGACCGTACGAAAATAACATTTGCAGAAAAACGCTTTCTAGCTGTCTTCTATTGTTCGGCACGCTCAACCGCCGACATCGCCCAGATTCAAGGTTCAGTCAGCTATATTTCGGTGTACCTACACCAGGGGAGTGATCATGGATTCCTCTTCATTCTTGTGAGTGACTTCTCGATCGTTTACTACGGGAATATTCTCCGTCTGTGAGATTGAGTCGATTCGGCGGCGATGAAGCATCGATCAAAAGTTGGCAACCTTGCTCTAATGCGAATAATCATCTCCTGATCGGCAAGAACAACTTCATTCGCATTTGTGTTGTATTGGTCTTTCCGTAATGGGTACTAATAATATGAACCGTATCAGCATTAACCAATCGCGGGACAAGATCTCAACCTCACGTTATCGCCTCATCTTCATAATAATAATAATAATATAATAATAATAATGGTAGTATGTAGTAGTGGGTTGTTGAATCAGATAGATATATCACAAGCCATCCTCTCATTCGCTCCTTCAAAATCTGTCTGAAATCAAGCCCAAACCGAACAAAACCCATCACCAATCCGGACGTCACCAGGCACACAATTTCCATCGGTTGATAAAGTTGCATCAGTAGGCTCAGATTATATATCTGCCATTTCATTCTTCCTTATGTAGAGTGGTTCCCTTCCGCGATCTTTGTTCCTCTTCAATCAAAGAGTCTAATGGTTTTTCTGCATCTGTAGTACATTTCAACACAAGAGCCAATTCCTGTTATTGCCATGAAGAAGCCGCGCGCGTCATGAGTCCGTCCAAGGGTCCGTCTCGAAGCAAGATCCGACCGACCGACCTCCTCTTTCCTCTCCGCGATCCATCTTCGAGTTATCTTGAAACTCAGCCCAGGCCCAATCGATCCAATGATCCATCGAGAGGCGATCGTTTCTCCATCCATACGAGGACTCCATCCCTCGGCTGCATCACCATCAATATATGTACAAAATTCGGCACTGCCCGGCGGCTCTAAGCAGCTCACGACCTCAGCGACTGTTGTCAGTAATTGGCTTTCAATTGTGTGAACATCCCGTAATCGCCCTTTTTTCATCCGTCTTTCCGCGTTCTCTGCATCGAGCGATTTTCGCAATCGATTTCGACGAAGACGAGAGTTTGAGTTTTTTTTTTCTTCAAGATAAGCTTATCGAGTCCGGTGATCCCAGGGCGCCATGCCCAGTTGGCTCGAGAGTGCGTGCATTTGAGTGCCCAGATACACACTGTGCATGTTGGAATTTGAGTGTGCCGCTGGAGGCCAATTTTGAGCGCTGAAACCGAGTTTGGCGGAATCCTGCGTCCACTGTGAGCCCATCTGCGAGAAATTCGCCAGATTGGCCATCGCTTGACCACCCATAGCCATGGGCATCGCCATTGTGGCGAGGTTACCGTTGCTCTGCGAGAAGCCCAACGATGAGTTCAGACCGTTCATAAGATTAGCGTTGAAATTCTGTCCCAATGTGGATTGGAACGAAGAAATTGAGGGCGTTGATAGAGGAGATCGAGCGGTCGGATTTTGGGGACTGGTTGAAGTCTGGGGACTCTGAACCAACGACGCGCGGTACGCGGCGAGCGCCTTCAAGTATTCCTGCAACAACAGCAATCGAAAATGAGAAACTTTCCGCCCATCGTCTCTCGGCGTCAGGGGGGAACATCAAACATCCTACATGAGCTAGAGGGATCTTTCTTTTCGGTGGAGCAGCTCGCAGAGGGGTGACCCCCTATAGTTCACAAAAGAGACTGCGAGTGCGAAAAGGGGGAGGCGGACTGAGGGGAAGGAAGGAGGAAAAGGTAAACGAGCTATAGAGAAAACTGCATCGACGCACTACCCAGGAACACTAGTTGAGGACAGGGAGATTCCGAACGCTCTCTCCGAGGACTTCATTGTATAATCTCTCCTGCTATTCCAATGATAATACCTTTTTCGCCGCTTCCGTCTTCTTCTTGTAGACCTCTTTCCGATCAGCGTCCAGTTGATCCCACATACTGGCGACGATCTTCGAGATTTGCCCGAACGTTGCATTGGGATTCTGGCTCTTGATATGAGATTGAGTATCTCTAAAAAATAGGGCGTACGCCGAAACGGGCCTGGAAAACGAGGAAATCATCAGAATTTTTATTGTGGAAGAGTTTCTTCGAGGGGTCGGGGGGGGGGGAATTGAAGGCTGGAAGGGGACCAAGGATATTCTAGGGATCGGCTGTACGGAAAATCGCATCGGGACAAGCAGTCCCTGGTATCTGGCCGCCTGGGAACTTTTATGCCGAAGTAGATACAACATGATGGACATTTCAATGATTCGGGACTCGGGAGTTCCGAAGCACAGGAAGCGGTTTCTTGTTGGGGTCGAGCAAGTCCTTAGGCACGGAGCGATCAACATACAGTCCGTGTCACAAAGTCGCGATTTGATCTGGCGAACGGAAGCGCTCAGCGCGTCCCCGAAATGCGGAGACGTCGCGAGGCGGGAAGGCTCCAGCCGCGACAGGTACACAGTATGTTCGGTACGGATCATCAAAGGGCTCGAATGATTACACAGGAATAAATTATTGACGCCATTTTACTGTGTCATCGACTCGACCGAGGTCATGGCGATCGCCGTCAGTGATATAAGCGCTCAAAGAACCAGTCGGGAGCCAGGCCAGAGTTTTTCAAAGATGTCGCACTGGCTTTCCTCCCGTATAGCTCTGCGATCGCGCGTAGGGCTCTGTCCGTCTCGGAGAATCCTCTACCTTGCACCACAATATAACGACTAAGCTATGGATAGCCCAAGATCGGATGGAGAAGGAACAGGGAGCATTGGAGCCGCAGGGAGGCAATCATATCTATAGCCGGCGTAATCTAGGACCACCTGCTCCGTTCAGGGACCAATCCAGCCATCTAGATTGCTTTTCGCCTCGAACAGCCTTTTTCAGATCAGTATATCCTCCCTCGCTTCTTCATACTCTGTCCTGTTCGAGCGGAAGCCCTCGGTTGCCGAGCGAAAGGACACTCCCATTATCATTGAGTTGCGCTCGATCTATCCGGTAGTCATTCTGCGTTCAATCCGCGGGGTATACGGAGGACGGCGAGAGCGTTCGCTGTGCGGCCTTGTGATGGGCATTACGGTGAGGGAAAATTGAATATTCTCCGAATCGGAACTCACTTTTGCGGCTCGTTGGGATCCTTTTTTTTGCGTTTGCGTTGGATCTTCTGCTTGGTGACGCCGTTCTGTTTTTGAGCGGCTTGGAGACCCAGAGAGCTTATGCTTCCGATGGAAGCAATCGTTCCCGGTGACACGGAACTTGTCGAAGCCGGAGTCGTCGAAGTGCTTTCGGCGGACTGCAGAGACGGGTAGTTGCTGTGCAACTGCTGAAACGAGTTGAAGCTCGACCCACCGGAGTTGATGTAGTCTTGCATATAGAATTGCGACGCGGCTGCCGCGGCAGCAGTAGACTGAAAACAGAGCGAGGACAACTTTATAAACTGTACTCGCGGATACGGATTACTGGTGTTCGACGTAGAGCGAAGACGCGAGAACCGAGTATCCTTTCAATTTAAGGAAATCGATCGGAAGAGAATCCAACCTCCCGAGTCTCGAACACAATCTCAGCGCCGCGGAAGTCCGACGATCAGGATGTCTCAGACCTCTTCACAGAGAGTCAGAATCGGTGCATTTTTCGAGCCGCCGACAAAGTCCCGTAGATTCAGCGTTCGAGAGCGCCGGGGAGTTATTCCATATTTCGCTTGGTCGCTCGCTCGCTCCCTCGCTGGCTGCTCGGAGTCTTTGCGGGCTTGCCCAGTATTGAAATCCCACATTGGGCTTGGGAGAACGGAATAGGGAATGAGGCGAAACAGCCTTTTTTGCAGGGTCGGCAACCTTTTGGGGAGAATTCAATCTACAGCTGCAGGTTCGGTGTCGATCCCGATCGGTAGCCTTTCAGATAAGGTCACTTGGTCATTTCAATCGCTAATCCCCGCGTGTGTACGCGATTCCGCGGCGTCGGTCAACGCCGACCCGTGTTCTGCATCCGAAATGTTATTCGCAATGCTCCGGATGATTCACGCACAGAACTCCTGCGTTCGCTTGCCCTCTCTCGGTGGGGGAGAGCAACAACTCTATGCAAAAATTGCTACATTTAGTTCCACTTCGAATTGGAGAATTTGGAAAATGTCAGTTGAGGGGGATGACGAACAGCTCAGATGATTAAGCACGACTTTTGGCCCGGAGAGGGAGCATCGAGGAGCCCGAGAAGAAGTCGACATTGTATGAATCTATCCGATATTTTTGCAGTCGCTGACTCCAAAGCCAGCAGCTATCGCTCCAACGATGACGACTGAGACTACGACTATAAGGACGAGATCCATCGAGTTCTCCCCATCTGGGGCAGCGGCACCGCTAGCGGCAGCAGCAAACCCACAACTACTTCCAGTACAATGATGATTCAGCAAAGCGAGCGAGCGGGCGGGCGGCCGGGCGATCGTGCTCTGAATGCGGCGCGGGTATCGGCACTCCGACAGCTATTTGCCTCATCGTCCACTATAGTATCCCTTCAGCATTATACACCGAAAATAATAGTCATATCGCGTTCGATTAAAACGAGTGAGGGGCCCGCGTGAACCACGAGGAGCTACACAAGAAATGTCAGAACAACGAATCGGACAACGACTCTGGCGTCGGTAGCGAGCGATATCGGGTTTCTCGGAGAAATCGAGACCATATTTGGCGCGACCAAGCTCGTCGATGTAGGAAGAATACTCACGAGATTCAAAGTTTGTTGACCGTCGAAGGTTTGCCAAGGCAATTGAGGTGGATCCATAGTACTTATCAGAAGAGGCTCCTGTAAGGACAGAATAATCCGATATTAGTCGCTCTATTCTTGATGGAGGTGGGAATGAATCCCCGCTTCAGCTGTGATATCCTTCCTGCTATCGCCCTTGATTGCCCGTATAGCTTGTGGGGACTCGAGAGGTACGTCGCGAGGAAGTCTTCCGCGATCGGGAAACCAGACGATGAAGACGCTTCCGTCGCGTCGAAATTACTCTCGGGAGCTAATAAGGCCACCGAGAAACATACCTCCGCGTTTTGCTTACAACAAGCGCTCCGCGAGCGGAGAAAAACTTCGACTCAGGGGAAGAAACGAGAAAAGACGGCACGGGGGTTCATTTGGAGAAGGCCTTGTTCTCTCAACAGCCAGAGCCAGTCAGGCAAGCGGCGGCGGTGGCAGCAGCGAACCCCCGAGCCCGGCTTCCCTATGTTATTCTCATTGAACCCCTCGAGCCCCTTAGCTCATTAGGCCGACTTCAATTCTGAGCGGCGCTTCGTTCTCTCGCCACACACACTGCGGCCTGAATTTCAACGCGGTTTCCTCTTCCTTCCTCCTATTCCACTCTTGCTCTCCCGCAAGCTGACTGGCGGCTGCTGCTGCTGCCGCCGCCGATTCCGCCGCCGCGGCTGCGGAGCTCGCTTGCAGCGAACCAAATTTTTACACGTTCTCATCCCGCGTTCAGTAAATTCCCATATTTCCCGACCGATCGCTCGTATGGCTATCACGGATCGAACCTCCTCGGAAACTCGACTCGCTCGCTCCCGTTCGCTTGGAGGCTAATTATTACGGTAAACGGTGATGATTCCGTCTTGTCTATGAAGCTTCCGGGAAAGATGGGAAATATGTTTCGCTGAAAAAGTCCCCGCTGAATTCGCGGAGTGAACGGGGTCAAGCTGCCGTTTCTTCGGAAGGTAAACCCGAGGCCGTCGCGAATTCAGGGGCTGCGGTGAACAGAACGAAGGAAAAATTCCCTGACTGAGTCGAGAAAGAAGAACGGTGGAGGCGGTGGCGAAAAAGGGGCCAAAATTGCGTTCCGAATCGATAGAGGAGCTTGGCCCCTCTCCCGGCTTCCTTCCCTCGAACGGGCGCCCGTCAGAGCCCTGCGCGGGAGCTCTTGGCTGGCTGGTTGCGCTGCCTTCACGCCGCCGCTTCTCCCGGCCGAAACCTTGGTTGACTGTATGGGTGGGAAACATGGGGCAGCAAGGCGGGTGAGGCGGGGACGGGGCAAAAGACCCCGCTTATATATGACCCCCTCAGACGCCATCCATTCCCCGTGCTCGGCCCCCTTCATTTCCCTGTCCCCTGGAATAGCTTCTCTATACGCATCGCTTGTTTCACAGCGTTTCGGAGATGCCGAACGTAAGTACAGTCCGCGGAATCCGCCGGCGGCCCCGATGCCGCTGCTATTGCTGGCAATGGTCCTCGTGTGGTGGGAAAAAGAATCGAGAGGAACAACGACGGGGAACTCCTACAATGAAAGGGACCCAATAGCTTTTGCGGCGCAACCGATGCAAGCGGACAAGTCTTCGGCTTGTTGGCAGGCGGAATCGATACCTGCCTGGTCTAGCGACAAGAGCTCCGGGGAAATGTGTGAGATTGGGAGGGAACCGAACTAGCCCAAGATATGTCCCTCTGGCATGACTCCGTCGAATCGAGATGTCGGAAAGACGCTGGCTCTCCGGCATGGCAATTGGAGGCAGAGCGGCAACTGGCAGAGGTCTTCTGTGTGAACTGGAATCAGGTCGCTGGTGGATTCAGCGAGGTCCGATTCCTCCCCCTGCCCGCGAATTCAGATGTTCGAATGATGGTTCTCAAAGTTTCTGAGCCGTAGATCTTGCTTGCGAGGAGACTACGCCGACCGTCCTATCTGCCGCGTGATTTTGTCTGTGATTTGACGGGATCCTTAATTCTGCGGTCAGGATGTGACTACAGATAGACGAGGCCCAGGGGAGGGGGAGCGAGTACGCAAAGTCCGTTGAGGTGTTCGTTTGCGAAACGTCGCATGCGAAACAGGGGCAGGGCATACGCATTTCTTTTCCGGTGCCGAACACGATGGCGCTAGTCCCATCTACAACCAGGCAAGCAAGCGAGCAGGGAGGCAGGCAAGCAAGCAAGCCCAGATCACTCTCTCGCTTCCCTTCCTTCGTTCCTTGGTGCGCTCGTTCGTTCGTTCGTTCGTTCGTTGCTTCCTTTCGGTGGAATGGGGAGGAAGAACTCCACTCGAGTCGACTTTGCGCGGCCCTCTCCTTGTCTCGTGTTTAGAACTTGTTCGTTCATATTTAAAGACGATTCACACCTCGGCTGCTCCCGTCGGAGGAAGAAGAACTCCATTTCGAGAGCGACAAGCGAAAAAGCGACCATTTAACCACCGTGATGTCTTATTCCTCCCCTCCGTATGCCTGAACTCCGGTCTCTCGCAGAGCTTGATGGCAGTTAGGAACAAAACGATAGACCTCTCAGGGAGTGAGTAGTTGGAAGTAATCACTACCATTAGCGAGCATCGGTCGAGCAGCTATCCCCAATTTTACATGGTCCCGAATTCTCCCGCGCCGCTTTGAATATGATGATCTCCGAGAGGATCTGCAAAATGTTCGTCGATTCGATCTCCAACTTCGGGATCGAACCATCAGAGGATTTCAACGACGAGCGGAGGAGCTCACACAAGAGCGGTGACGGTCCGCGGACTATGAACATACTACCCGATTATTCCCATGCACGTTTCCAACAACATGCGGTGGCAGCGCTTTCAATGCAACCGCCGCCGCTCCTGCCATAGGCGGCAGTAGTCGGGGCGCCGGCGAAAAGTGTGCGGAGTGCGTTATATCGCGCTGCGGTGTCGCCGCCGCTGCTGCCACGACAGAGGCGGCGGCAGCAGCAGCGACGACTCCGAACCGTCGGCGGAAGCTGTTTTGCATGCGACGAGGGTTCGCACGACGACGACGAAGAGGGAAAGAACTGCGAGGCCGACTGGCTGTCAGAGGGCGAATGGGCAGCGAAAACTCACAACAGGCCACCACCCTTCCACAGCGGAAGACTCTAGAAGAGAAGAGTAAAAAGAGGGATTCGCGGTGCCGAGACTCGTGTGGCGCCGCCGCAAACCGCTCGTTCGCCCGCCCGCTCGTTCGCTTGTATGCGTGTTCGCTCGTTTGCTCGACTGAAAACCCACCGAGCCAACTCCGCACGACAATCGAATGCTCGACGCCAGCACGGATCGGTGCTAGCCCGGGAGGAGCTTGACATCGACCAGTGCCTGAGCCAGACAGGAGATTCCTCCAGGGGAAAATAGCCCGGCGACCGAGGATAGTTGACCCTGGTACGCTGAGGATTGGAACACCGAAATCTCCTTGAGTTCCCCTCATCAATAGGAATAGAACAGAAGGTGCTAGTCACGCGTGGGAGTAAATAGAGGGCTGCGATTGCCACCGAGAATCACGAGACTTCCCGACAAGCCTAACGACGCGGCTCCGGATTGCTTAAATGCCCTCCCCTCCGGATCGTGGGTTTTTTCTCAAGAGCACTTTTATCGCTCTAAAGCGGTAGCTTGTCGAGTCTGCGACGGGAGGAAAACCGCTCGTTCGAATCGGTCCGCCGCCGCTCGCCCGCCTGCCTGCCTGCCGACGAGCGGGTGGTTTAACCGAAGGTGCTGTCGTTCGGAGGGACTCCGTTGCGGTGGCAGCGGCGGCGGCGGCAACGATGGTGGGCGGAAGAGCCGAGACGGGCAAGGAAACGATCTCCGTGGATGCCCTCTGATGGGAGCGCGTGTTGTACCGGGGAAGAGGGGGAAACACCGCCACTACTCCCGCGAGCGGCCACCCGCTCGCTTTACCGCTTGTCTGGCCGCCTGCACGCCCGCCCGCTCGGGCGCCTGTTCGCTTGTCCAACCCTAGTCGTTCTGACAGCGAACGATCAGCAAGGTCAAGGATGAACGTTGCCCACGGAACGGAAACAGAGAAGGTCGACCGACACACGCTCATCCAGAACCGACGAGAATATCGTTCCCCCTCTTGGGGAACTCACGATCAGATACTGCGTTAATTGTATGACCTTTCTCAGTGCGATCGAAACTCCTCCGAATCTCGGAGGTCGACTTGACTCGAGTTACATGTCGACAATGTCCTACGGTCATACCCCATGGCAAATGAGAAGAATTAGAGACCGAGCGATTGTCACCGAGATCGGGTTCTCCACTCCGTCATCCGAAACAGTTCTTCCTCGGGTCCGTCATCGACTGTCTCGGAGAGAAATCGCATTCTGCGGACCGAACCCGGATTCCTTCCGGACAAGAGATCACGGTTCCCAGTCCGACTCAGCGGTGGTTGTCGCCGTCGTTTGCCTTGTTTTCTGATCGAATCGATTCGTTCGACGCGTTGAGTAGGATGGGCAGCTCGCCGCTTTGGCGGTCGGTGCAAGGAACGACCTCCTTCCGGAAAGGAAATCGGAGATTCGGCCTGATGACCGAACGACCGAAAACGACTGGAGCTACGTCACGGCACGAGAGCTTTGAGTCAAACGCTGCGGCTCAATGAGACCTCAGGAGCTCCTATATTGCCCGACTCCCGAGTTTCTCGTTACTCTGTTCGATCGGTTCGGTCTTTCTCCAGTCAGTCGATCTGTCTGCTGTCAACTTTTCGTTGACTGGTTTTCAGCTGCATGCTTTTGTGGGGGTTCACCAAGCAAAAGAGCGAAGGAGAGCACGATTGAGGAAGCAGACTGATGAGTAATGGATGGCGCCGGAAAAGGGGAAATGACGTCACGAAATTGAACCGAGCCCAGCACAGCCGCAGAATATATATGTTGTACTCCCTCCGCTGAACGGACCCGAACGCTCGCCGATTCCACTTCGTCTTGTTGGTAGGTACCCCCGTGAGATCCTGCTCTTCTGAGCTTTTTCATCGGGATGCGGGGAGATATCATGAGATGAAGCAGAATTGAACAGCGATCCCATTAAATCCCGTGAACTGTCTCTCCACCCTTCCAACGACGAGTCATTCCTCTGATGCAGCCGAGACAGATATTGTCCGCAGACAGCCGCAAAACTGCTCGCAGAGAGCGGGTTCCTTTCTAGGGATGGAATTTACGCATCCGCATCCTCGAATTCTCGGCTTTTCATAGGATGCGTCCGTGGGTAGAACCTCAGATGGGGACGTCGAGACAGGACAGTCCCTCTGGGGAGTTCCCGGGACGCAAGGCTAGAAAACACGGTTCTGGGAGATTTGATAAATGAGGTCCTGAGGAAATCCCTTCCAGCGAGTAGGGAAACTGGATGAACCAAGGTGAGGAGCATTTTTCCCAAGATTATGCACACTTCCACTTCTCGTTTCGACAGTGCGCAATGAGTAACACGCGAGGATAGAAGCGAGCAAGGAGGCAACCAACTACCCTGTGAGCCAAACGAGAAGGAGGAACGCGGCTGTCTAAAAGCAGGCTTCAGGCTCAAAACCTTTTTTCCAAAGTGCTGCGACTCCAATGCGCTGCTGGCAAGAAAACGAATGTACAGTTGTAGAGTTGTCGGGGAGAGGCGACCGGGGCACTGGGGGTACTGGCTCGAGAATGGGGACGGAGCGGCGGCAGCGCCGAGCGGGGAAAATGGAGTCGGGCGGGGCTGGGAGGCCGGCGGGCGGGCGCGCGGGCGAGGATAGGAGTCGGGGAACGCGGTGTCCGAGCCCCTCTTCCTGAGGGGGAGGGAGTGAGTGCGCACGCAGCGGGAAAAGCGAACGAAGGAACGAACGCACGAACAGTTTGAGCTCCAGTGCGCCCTGCCACGGGCCGCCACTGAAGACCCACGGACCGACCGACCGAACGCTCGTCCGCCGCCGCGGCCGACCCGCTCGCTCTCCGGGCTCTCCTCCTTTTCCAGTTTTCCCGCTGCCCTCCGCGCTCGTCCTCTGACTCTCATCTATATGGCAGTTTCTGCGACCTACTGCACTTTTCTTGTCGCACGCTCACCCGAACTCGGCACTAACTCGCATACATTTCTTTTTAATCTGGGAATACTGCTGTCGTGTCCAGAACGACCGCAAGACCAGATGGTGGGATATTGGGATAGAGGCGGGTCGGTCGGTCGGTCGCTCTCATGGGTCAGCATGTCAGTTCGCTCGAAGTCGACGACTGGTATCAAGAGTACATGTGGGCGAGAAGGCGCGCGTGAGTCCATGATTGATCGTCGCCGCTCGACAATGACGCAAAGAACATGTATACCCCGATCGCGACGTATACCCTTCAGTCCTGAGCCGACTATGTATACCCGTTTATAAGGCATTCCGTTACCTTCCTCCGCACCGCTCCCTTTCATTCTGTCTCTTCCATGAGGTATTGGTCTGCGAGGAATCCGTGGCCGCGCAGCTCATGGCTGCGGGATAACGTATGATAATGCCGCGGCATACACACAAATGAGCAAGGATGTGAGGCCAGAGAAGGATCATATTGGGGGGGGGGATGAGATTGCTTCCTTGAGGAGCGATCACGCTCACCGAATCATGAATATTGACGATCATTCGAAATTATTCCCTCTATCGACGCCCTCAGTGAGCTACTTTTCCATGTATGCGGAATACGCGCGCAAGCGTGACGTCTCCCACATAATGTTGAGCTGATACCATTAGACACAGTGGATCTAGGAATTCCTTTGCGGAAAACTCGCTTACAATTTCTCGACGCTTTTATGGCTTGACGGTTTGAACTCTGCAAACGCTGTCCATATAGGAAAACGCTGGTCCTTCCACAGAGTCGATGCACGTTAGGAGCCACACCACGTCAAAACACTTCTTCTCCTTCTAACGAAATCCGTGAGAATATTCACTCGATGCAGGCGACACCCGGTTGCAGGAGATCGAACGACGTAAGAGGAGTGCGGCTTCCGTCCGATGGATTCGCTCCCGCTGTCCAGTTGGGGACTCGTAGAACAAGTAGTACAACAACAAGGTGAGAATCCAGCAGGAAAAATAAACTTAAGTGCACCCGTAGTTTACATCCTTGAGGCCGGAGTCACGTGCACGTTGCGAGCTCGTTGAGGAGCGTTGGTCAGCGGCAGCAGCAGCTGCACGCCACTGTCCTTCCTCTCCGTTGGCGGTCCGCTTCAAAATATTATGGTCGCCTGGCTGCCTGCTTGCCTCACTGACTGCCTGCCAGGGCTGCTAGGTTGCCTGCTTGTCTATATGCTGGGCTTGTCCCGTGCCGCCTCGGGTCCGGAGAGGGTGCTGCTTGCCAGGAGTGTGCTGAGGACGACTCCAAGAGAACGGAGAACATCGATCTCAAACCGCAGCGCCCTCCTTCGGCTCCGCACTCAATTCGCTCGCCACGTTCTGCTGCAATACCCGCAGGCATGCAATGAAACTTTGTTACAACGAACCGACATCGCGGAGACCACTCCTAACTGAGAACGTACTAGCCAGTAATATTTGCGCCCGCCACGACTGCCGCTACCGCCGCCGCTTTTCCGTCCGCCTCCACCGACGCTACCACTAGCAGCAGCAGCGGCGGCGGCGGCGGTCGTGGCGGCGGCGACGACGGCACGACCAACACCACCAAGAAGCCCTTTTCCGATGAGACAGACAGACTCGCCGGGGCTCCCCCTCGGGCTCGCTCCCCATCCTTCCCGCAAGGTCCCCGCTTCACTTCACTGTGCGCGGCGGAAGCAAGACGAGTCACGGTCAGTCGGGAAAGGCAAGACCGGCGGCGGGCGGGAGGTAGTGATGTTCACCGCCGCCGCGTCGGGTTGAAACCCTTTGACGAGATGAGCCTCAGGACCAGGTGGTCTTCTCTACAACAACAGCAGTAACGACGACGACAACGACGCAACGCGGACCCATCCGAAAGATTGATAGACGCTCGGTAATGGCTTTACAATTGCGCTCCACGACCTCCTCCTCTTCGTCTTCCCTCACTGGGGACAGCTCAGGCCCGAGTATTTCTCCTGCTCGGACCGCCGTAGACACGTTATGCGCTCCGTGTCTCGAACGTTCCGCGTTTCATACTTTCCATTGCCTTCTTCCATTTGGGGCTCTGTTTTCTTCCCGCTCGGATATCGTGGCTTTCTCGTCCGACGTGTTCTCTTAAGCTTTCAAGTCACCGCCTCCGACCGCAAATATTTGCTTGTATACCCTCGTCGAAATAATCGATCGCGTAGCACCGTCCGAGAAGCACCCGTTCACATTTCGCACATGAAACATCGTCTCCCGTCGGAACCCCGACCCAATCATGACTTCGATTCTCTCATGCACATGGATCGCTCCGTCTGCGCTTCATCAGCGGTAATTAGAAGCAAGCTTCGAGTTCTGAACATATGTCACAACAATAAATGGCATTCTCTCGATGCCCTCTCGAAATCTCAAGGATCCGAGTGACTGCGAATCGGTTGTGATCATCGGTGAAATCGTGAAAATTCCGGCCCTCTCCTTCAGCGCATCGGCCTGAAAGGACGCGAAGGAACGCAGGAGCCGGCAAACAAAATTATGGGGCGGTTATATTATCCTGGCCTACTGGGAGGGTCGGACATGATCTGTATCTTTTCCTCCTTCAGTTCGCTCCTGCCTGATCTCATGAGCCCCGGACCCGAAACACTGTGTGGATCTGACAATATCATTCGCGAGTTTTGAATACGTGTTCTTCGATGGGAGCCGGAAGCCGGGACCTGCACCACATCTCCCCACTTAGAAAGAGTCAATTCTGGATCGATCTTCTGAGACATTAGGACTCCGTTAATTCGAAAGCTACGCCACACATACTCGATCGTCAAGGAGCTCCAAACATCACACGTTGGACACTTCACACGAAAGGGCTTACATCAAGACGCGACCTTAAATAATTCTCACTCAGCTTTTCGCTCTATAAATCGACACTCCTCACAACAGAAACAATGGAGCGAACGAAAGGTAGCGTTCTCGATCCGAAAACGAAACAAAAAGTCCGAATGTCCGCCGGTGGAACTCACAGAATTCTCAAATGCCCATCATTACCTCCTCCCAACGGCTAACACGACGTTGGCATGAATATAAAAACCCGGCTGAATACTGGGGATCGACCCTGCCTGCCGGCCGGCCAGCCGAGCGACCGAGCGGCCGACCGACCGACGACCGACTCAATCGACTGAGTGTCTGCACAAGGTAGTCGCCCCCCGAAGCCTTGATTTCATAGCGAGTTCACTTTTGATCGGTGCGCTCCGAGTCGGAAGTGGATTCTGAAGATCAGGAGCTTCCGATCGATGCATAAACTGACCAATTCACCATGATTCCGGGAACCCCTGATCGGTGGGTCCGTTGTTGGGCCTCAAGCGAAATTTCCCACAGCGCATTTTCTGTACAGAAAAATATGAAGACCTTGAAGCCTTTAAGCGAAGGCGACACCGAGGTGTTTGAGCGCGAATGCGCTCGCTGGATTCGACAGACCCGACAGGGTCGAGAATCCGGATCGTCCGTTGACTTCTTCACTGATTAAAAATCGATTATCGGGAACGCGTTCCCCGAGCGGAGGTCCGCAAACCGTATCGCTAGGACTAAATCGCTTCAACGCGCGCCTAACCTAAACTGACGAACTCCGTCGTACACTGACCTGCCTGTAATGAGCTACTGCACCTATCTACACAAAGCCTAGCTGTCCTGACACGAGTTTGTTAGATATTCAACTATCTCGATCACTAGCATTGCCTCGCGCCTACAACACTCTCAGCAGCGACGACCATCAGCAGCAGCTGGGGAGGGTGATGTAAACACAGATGATGATGAGGATGATCTCTGCCTCATCGGTTTTCTCAGAAATCCTACATTTCTTTGATTTCGCTCCGAAACCTCGAAACGATCCGGCAAATCCATTCACGGAGCATATTCGAGAGTCAAAGGAACGATCGTCGATTGATGTGGGGACCACGAGGCCCACCGACGACTTGATGTATTTTTTCTCACCATGATTTCGGCCGCCGAAGCTGCACGGTGCTTCGGGAAGGACATAACGCGTCAGCCATTTTGAAAGTTCAACCCACAATGTATCGTCGGATCCCTCCTGTTGATGGCGGCCAGGGGAGCAACCCTGGGTTCGGCTCTCCGAGATTTCCTCCTCAGCTTCCAGGACTGCTCGGTCGAAGCAGGCGGAAGCTGGGTCTTGCTCGGGTCCGAAGTATCGGTACCCGCCATGGGACATAACGAGATACATGAAGTTTCAAGCGCACAGGCTGGCTCTGGGTTCAATGACTCCTTCCGCAACGACTTCGTGAGAGAGCGAGCTCTCAAGCTCCGCTGCTTCCACGAAAGCGATCAAAGGAACAACATCCGCAGATGCTATCTCAACCGCCTGACACACGATCCACGACGGATCTCGTCTGTATTCACATCTGCGAGAGCGATGTGATCACGTTATTCTATATAGTCGATTTTTATAGGAGTTCGCATAAGCACGTTCGGATCCCGCCTTGAGCTTGAGAGCCAAGCGTATTCTACGGAGTATTTCATTCGATACTGTAAATTTCGGAGATACCTGAATACACCAAGGTCCATATTCGTCGAGCTTCGAGCCTCGAAGTTCGACTTCGGACCTATATAGTATTTGGAAATACTCGGCCTTTTGGCGACTGCTGGGAGCTCGTGCGATAATGGGCATATTCCCGAATTGCAGACAACGATGACGCTGACGTTAGCCCATGATCATCAGCTATCTCATCCTTCCCCTGAATTTGTCATCCAATCCCCTGGTGGACACCGGATTGCGAAGAATCTCTGATCCCTTCCGCACTCGTATTGGCGACTGCGGGTCTCTTGGGGACGCCTGAGCAGAATTTGAGATCTAGTCATACCCTTGTGCCTCGAGTCTTCGGATTCGGTGGCTTTGTCTGTACAATCGAAGCCTCTCCTGTGAGCGAGCCGTAGACGACTCGATCGGTATAAAGGCAGCGCTCCCCGCCGCAGCAATGTACATTCCGATCCTCGGATTCCGCATAAACTGACAGTCTCTTCAAACGAAGGATAGCCGTTTTTGAATGTCCCGAAATAAAAACACCATTTCAGGTAGTCTCTCTCTACTGACGATACATCTTTTGATAATTTATTATTATTATAATCAATATCATAATCAATCTTCTTCGTCTCATATCTTTCTCAATAGTAAACATTATTAATTGGCGATTGCGGTGCAAATACTTTCTTTGTTTGTTTCTTTCTCCTTCATCCCTTCCCGGACGTTCGTCCTCCGAAAGGCCGGCCGTCGCGACCGTCTCCGAGTTATGTACAGCTCTCTCATGCTTCTTCTCTATTTTCCATTATTGTAGGTTATTTATGATCAGTATTCTCGATGACAACGACCACTCTCATCGACAATTCATCCCCTTGATTAATATTTCAACACATCATCACCATCAATATTAATGTGGAACTGTTGATCTGGTGATGTGAAGCGCTCTAACCACAACAAGAGTTTGTTGGCGGGCCGCTAATTCTCTTCTTGATATATTCCCCCCTTTTACTTCCAGCTAACGTATGAATCATGCTGGCTCAACACTCGCTCCCCATGTGGAATAATGCTGAGAGACCTGAACCGAACGATAACAGCAATCTGCGATGACGGACAAAACAATCGTGTCCTTAGCGCGGCATCGACAACTAACAATCCCATGGGTGAACGGGGACTAACACAAATAGGGTCGAAGTCAGAGTCGAAATCGAAGAAGTGATTATGGGATATCCAATCTGGATTTCTCTTCTTTTCCGTGGGAAGGAACCATCAGCCAGCGCCGCGTGTTCTAGCAACAATATCCCCACGAAACACATTCACGGGATAGCCTCCGACGGCTCCGCGGTCATAATGATTTCACGCTCGAACTCCTTGGCGAGCCTCACTAGAAGGCGTCCTCCAGGGGATCCGCGCAATATTGCTCGCAGAAACTGCTCGATGATGGGAGCTAGATCTCGTGGAAAATTCCCGAGCGCGTTCGTGTTCCATCAGCGGGACGGTTTCCCCACTGGAAACAGAGGAACCCGGGAAAAAGAAAGTGAGCATATGGGCTTGTCTCCCTTATTCAGGGGAACCCCTCGCCGTATTCTCGTATCCTGTTCTGGTTTTTCTATCTTGATGCTTTTGCTTCCGAATTCAGTCGTCAACTGATTTTGTTTCACGCAGGGAGTCAACAAATCCGAGAAGTCGGAGCCTGAGTTCTTGTTTGGCAACGCATCCGTCGACTCCCCGTCGGAGCGGCACCAGGCTCTACAACCGCGTATCTCGCCCTCAGACAGAAAGTGCGGAGGGATTCCCCGGAGGTTTTCTCTTTAGGTGTCCCTGCCCCTGTCAGTGAAGAGCAAAGATTTTGAGCAAAAGCTTCTACTGTCTCTGAGATACACGTTACTCGCTTCACATCGGTTTCATTCCATACTGTCTATGATTCAGGTTATATCGTCGTCGATAAGTCTCCCGGATGAGTACTCCAAAAAGTTAATATTACGTTTCGCAGCGGACTGCTCTTTGTTCCTAGAATAGTTCTCCTTTTCCCGTTCACCTAGTATGTACTTTAAACAAACTAGTCCGGCGGAAGGCGAGGGTCTCAGTCCGGGAACCGAGACTATACGTCGACTTCTAGGTTCAGCCTCGCCGTCGCCCGAAGCTCTTGATTTTGCTCTGGTTTCATGTGTCGTAGTAGGTATTTATTAGCTATTTGATGATATTAGCTATCGCAGCTAGGAAATGCAAAGCCAGCAGGCTTGTCCGATCAGATGCGCCCGCATCGAGTGTGATGATTTCTTCTCAGTGTTCGCTGACTCGTTTCTGTCGTATGCTATCTGATTCCTTCTCTAGTACATCTTGGTTATCTCCATTTTAGCGGCACCAATATATCTTATTATATACACGTACATGATCTACCGTCCAACGGTCCGACTATCGGTGGTAGCATAATGACACCGAAAAAAATTCCAGGACATTGAACAAATCTCGGGATTCGCACCTTTTCTAGGCAATCGAGGACTCTGTCCTGGAGGAGAACGTTCTACTCCTGAGAATCTCGGAACGATCGATTGTTGTCGTTTTTTTCCTCTCTCCGCAAACAAGGGGCAAAGAAGTCCTACCTTGACTTGACTGATGGTCTTAACTGCTCTTTCGGTATACTGCATCGCATGGTTGGTATGCCTAATGCTGACCGCGTTCGGTGTCGTCGTGTCAACTAGCCGCGAGAAGTACTGCGAGTAGAGGTCTCCGCTCGCGACCAATTGACTCTGATCATAACCGTCGTCATAGTGGTGTGTTCAGGAAAATCTGTGATCTCATGTTCGGTTCTCTTAAATACGAAGGCACCTCCTTAAATCTGGCTTTCTCTTGTGTGGTAACGACACTGTTCAGGATCTGCGTCATCCTGTATAATCTTATGATCAAAGTCTATAGTCGGGTAGCAACAAAACTCTCGACTACATCTGGTTTGCTGGAGGAGAGTCACTCAAGGTTGGGAGAGAAGAAGTGGTTATTTCTTCCTAGTACATTCTCCGTACGTTTGACCAGCTGGGAGCCCAGCCATCCGACCAACAGGCGGAGTGATTGATCGATTGAGTGAGTGAACGATGAATTAATGCTCGACTGGGTGTTCTAGCGGAGCGCCACGAGGTCAGGTCGGCCCGTCTCGCCGTTCAGGGATTGACCCTGGGGGCTGGAAGCCATAGTCGAGTCTTCCAAGGGGGACCATCGACCGCTCATCTCGTTCGCTGGCGAATCGCGCATCCGGTAGTACGCCTGCTGAAGGTAGAGAGCCCCGTTAGATTCCTCGGTAATTTATTCATGTCGTCAGCTGTTCTAATCAAACTCAAAGAAAAACCATCAGATCTACGAATAATCAAGATTAGAGGCTGTCACGAGTTACGACCATCTACTAGATTATAATATCTTCGCTAAATATCTATAGCGGCACTCCAGATGGATCTTCCATCAACACGACGGAGAGCTCGGCTTATTCGGGCGTCAATCAAATTGACGCCCCCGAACGCTCTCCACGGTGCCGTAACACACGCCGCACCCGCTAAGCTAACGGCAAGAAAGACTGACACGCTACAACGTCTGAAGGACGTGAGCTCTCAGCACACGTAAGCGTGTACTCGAAGATCTCGATATAGCTCCTTCGGTGAGTTCGAGGAGGAGAAGTAAATTACAGTATGCTCGAATAAGACAGCGACTTAATAAGCAACACAAACAAATGTTAATGGCAGAGTAATCCTTCACCTGAAGGGGTGGCGGAGGTGGGGGCGGGATCGGCGGTGTTAGTGAGTCTCGATTGTGGGCGTTGTCTCTATACACCCCATGGCCATGCTGGGGACAGAGGGGAACCGATTTGACCGATTGACGGTCTCCAAGGCTCTGGCGATCGCCCTCTGTGCAGACGGGTCCTGAACCCGCCATTATGAGCACGCCGTTAGGATGCTTACGGAATGCTTGAAGGTCGACGTCGGGAAGGTAGCGACCATCATCGTCATCAACCAGTTGTCCCTGATGCTGTTTCCGCAGCCGAATTTCGGCTGCCAGCGCGGCTTCCAGTTCTGACGATGGGGCTGCAGGCGGGGCCAAGCCGATCTCCATTGACACCTGAGAGAATGAGACGAGAGCCACGGTCAGCTGTATCCCCTGTCCATTGCTGTATCCAAGATGCAGGAGAAGTATTCAACGGTTATTTCCGTAGGAATAGCAGGAGACGGCAACAGACCTCCTTACTCCTCCGGATTTTGTACTCCCTCTCCCTTTCGCGTCTCTCCTGGATCTTATTGTAGCAAGTAATCGTGATGGATGCACACATTCCCATCACTAATGCCGTGAACACCACCAGGATGATGATCATGTGGTCAGAAGTCAGCACAAGGAATATACCAGAGCCTGGAAGAAAATATTCCAAATCTAGCCAGGTTCCCTATGCTTCCTCGGAGCTCGGGGGCTCTCTCCTCTGTTCGTATGCGCCATCATGAAACCCAGAAACTTGCAAGTTCCTATCGTACTCACTCTGTGAGCAGCGGCTGGCATCCTCATCGTATCGGTATTTGCAATTGAAGTCACCGTCACACGTCAATTTACTGCTGATGCACCAACCGTCGTCACAAGAGAACTCCGTCATCGGGTTGCAGTCTTCTACGAATTAGTCGAGAAAAATTCCAATTATCATAGAGCCAGCGCTCGGCCGCGAAGCAACTCGTGCAACCCGGCCTTTCAAGTTTCAATCTCTCGCTTTCTACCGAGCGCTACTATGACTCGGGTATTCCTTCGTCGATTTACTTACTGGGATCGTTGACTTCTCTAAAGGCTGTGTAGAGCACCTCTAACTTGGGCAACTTGCTCTGTCTCAGTAGAATGCCTTGCGCAAAGAAGCGAATCTGCACCTCGTTGGTCACCGAGGTTGTCGGTTCAGCTATTGTCCCACAAAAGTGATTCAATCTGCGGATATGTTCGTCGAATTATTACGAATCAGGCTCTCTGAACTCGAGGAACAGGCCGCGTATCCATTCGGACCTATCGGCCGCTTGGACACCCTCCGTAGGTACTCGCCTGTCTTGTTTAGTGCCCCCAGATATGATGTCGAGGAAATTGGTCTGGCAGTTGTTAGGTTGGACCAGTTCGTACAGCGGGAACGTGAGGTAGATCTTCGAGCCATTCTGTACACGAATGGTCCACGTGCAATCAATGGCAGTCAACGTTTCGTTGGCGTGTTGGATGATGGTATTGCTGATGTCCGCATACGTAACTCGGCCATTTTCGCCACCACGATGGAATTTGCACTCTTCAGGGGGCTCTAATCCTACCGTACCTGTTGAAAATGAACAGGGTATGAAGATCATCGTGACGCATGGATGACCATATCTTCAATAGCATAGGCTTCAGCCGGTTGCAGACGATGGGGCAGAGACGGGAAGGACTCTCCGCGTTCCAGCGGTTCCATCTGGGGTTTTGAGGCAGGCGTTTAGGAATTTCGGATCGATAGAAAAAAGGGTCTCCAGAAAAACTGGCCCGCGAGAGGTAGAACCCCCCTGAACCGCGCTCAAAAGGATGGGTGATTCCGAATCATCTCCTGAGGAAGCATAACGGCCCGGTCTGCAACTGGCGTCAGCTGAACATGGGGCGAGATGTACAACGCGTCTCACTTACTCGGTGCTGGAATGAAACTGTACACAGCTTTGAAGCCGACATACTCGATGGACGCGTCCGAGGTGAACCTCAGGTAGAGTTCGCGACCTTCGCTCTGTATGGGTTTGGGGAATTCCCGGCCGCAGAACGTGCCGGCCAGTGGAGAGTATCCATGGCCGCCGTTGTGAACTTCTAGCCTATCGAACTCACACGAAGGGCTCTCCTCTAAATGGAATTGATCCCGAAATTCTAAGCGGACCATATGATTGAGTGGTGCTGAAAGAATTGATACTCGAAAATTATGCGGGGCTCAGCATCGGGATGAATTTCCCTTGACTCGAATATATATGTTTTTCCCACATCGTATGAGAAGTTTCTAAAATTCCCCGATACGCTCGTGGGGAACTCACCAGATATTCGTTTGATGCATTCAGTATTGTTGGGATACGTCCCACCGGAAAGGTTGAACAGAGGTGAGTAGAACTCTCTACGCTCCGAGTCTCCAACCGTGAAATTATAGCAAATTCTTGTCTTCTCCTCCTCATCCATGTCGCCGAACTTCATGCCTTTTTGATCTTTGGCTGAAAATGACGGACGCCTTGTTAGAGAATGGAGAAGCACTCGCAGATGATGTGGGTTCGCTCATGAATCCCATGAGGAATAGGAATAGAATATTCCCCTCTCCCGTTTCTTTCCTGACTCCTGTGCAGTTCTGAGATGCCGAGCAAGTCCCACCCACTCCTCGAATCGCAGTCGAGTCCCAATGTATCCCAAACGTTTTCCAACTTGAATTCCGTTTGCTTGTATTCGCGTGGGAGCCTGCTCGAGCCCACGGAAAATCAGCTCATGTGGAACAAATCGGCGCTCTGGGGATTCGATTCTCCGACAGGTAGTCGAGAGCTTGGCGTATTAGACGCGTCCTGCGAGAACACGCGTCCCATGGAGTGAACTTCACTGTATTCATTCCCATTTTTTGTTCGCTGAATCCGTTGCCGGTGACACCCAGAACCTCGAACTTCGGCTATGTGCGTAAGCCCGAAAATCACTCGGGGATCCGTCCCCCTCCGAAGGGCGCCAATCCCCGTTTTTGCGCTCTGAGAATGTAGGACCCCATCCCCCCGAGAGTGCCGACTCATCGTCGAAGCTCGGAGTTTCCCTCCCGACGCGACGGTAGGAATTCCCTGTTCGATCATCCGGGCGCTCGTGTCCATCCGTCCGATGTTACCGAAACCGCGGAACGCAAGCTGCTGTTCGATGTACAGATCGAAAATAGGCCCGCTCCTCCTAGCGCAATGCCTTGCGCAGGGTTCTCGCAGATGCCTATATGGTTATTATAAAGTCTCTTTATCCCTGGACCACTGACCAAGGATCTTAAAACGAGTCGGTAAGCTGATCAAGAAATCAGACTCGCCTGGACGGATCTTCCCAATCAAGCGCCGGGTATTGAGCGGGAGGATTCGATTATCTGGATGAATAGGGAAGGACACTAACCGAGAATGTGGAGGATCGACTTCGTTCGGAGGGATTTTCGCCGACGCTGTCAGTATGAAGAGTTCTCACGATTCTCCGGCCGGGCCATGGGACTTCGAGGCGGTCCTCGACCTGCTGTTCACGTCATTCTCTCCCCCATCTCATCATCCTTTTTCGCGAAACTTTCCTACTCGCTCTGTCCGGCGCGAATCCCTTCTCGGTGGAGAAATATCTCCCGTCGGAAGCAGCTCGTTAATAAATCATATCACAGCAAGGAACTTTTGATTCGTTCCAGAATGCGTCGGGCAAGCTCGCTTGGGATTTATTTCACTCAGAAAGAAAGTCGACATGTTTATGACTAGGTCACTCCCTTCCTGCACGTCGTCTTCGCGCTCCTCTAGCATACTCCAGGTCCCCAGGCACCATCCAGCTATCTCGCTGAGGGGAAGCGCGAGCTCCGGATAGGAATCGCCCGGTGGTCATGAGTCATGAGCTTCCATCAAGCCTTAAATGCTCATTCTATCGACGCGTGAAATCCCATCATATTGTTCCGTTGTCTCGTCCTTGTCGTCATTGGTCTCGGAGCTTGCATTGCTAACAAGGCCTCCGTACAGTCAATCATGAATAAGTCACAACTACTGCTCTTCACGATGCTGTGGGCTTCGATTCGCCGGGTTACGCTCCGCTAGCCAGTGGATTGAGCTTCGGTCTTCCCCCGAAACCGACGTGAAGGCGAGCAGTCGGCTCTGCGATGCACTCGGACCCAGTGGCGGATCCAGGCAAAAGGGTGGAGGGCGGCGGCAATCCATGTGGCTGCAATTTTCGGGTTCGTCCAATATCCGAGACGTACGCAGAACATGCGGCGGCACCCCGGGATACCTTGACCGCCCCTACCATGGAGAACCGTGGATCCGCAAGTGCGCGGGCCCATTGCAGGAACATGGGGGGCAGACACTTTGGTAGGTACTTTCAGAAGTCGAATCGGAGACGATTTCGCCCTCAGAGAGAAATAGCGAGAATCGCAGAAGTCCCGACCCTGAGAACGCTCTCAAGTTGACAAATTCAATCTCTTCGTTCAATAGGCGTTGTCCCGCTGCCTGATTCCCCATCTTCAAGCAAAAGCCACTTCGTCCCGATCGAGAGCAAACGTCGACGGCGAGGCCACGGATCCTCGCCGCTACGGGCGCACTCAGTAATCCTCTGGATCTGGCGTCGTTTAGCTCTTGTGTCAATGATTTCGGTTCAAACGGAATTCTAGTCTGTCGGAACGACGAAAAAAGCGGGTGGGTCGCGCTACTAACAAGATACCTGAGTCCGCTCATCAAGTCAGCGTCCAGATCTGTGTGTTATTCAGTCACTTACGGACTCGCTAGCAAGCTCGCGTGGCAACACGGTCAAGAGAGGACGGCTGATGGCATTCTAATCGCATTGAGCGAGCGGGATCGAATTAAAATCGTCGTCCATGCCTTCGAAGAATATTAGAAACGCGGCTGACTGCGAATTGAATTGCTCACTCATTCCGATTGACTCTGGAAATTGACTCCGATTTCCGACCGACGGAATTGACTCCGACACATTCGGACGTATGAAGCGAGACTGTGGCCAGAGTGGCAGCATTTGAGACAGTGAAGGAACGACGTCAGAGGACGTCACAAAAGGACGATATTAAATTCTCGATGACGTCCGCGGCTTGATTGTCGGCAACGTGTCCATCCAATTCCCCATCCATCATTAACGTTGATGCAGAGTTTCTCTGTGTGAGGCTCATGTCGGTTCTGCTGATGAAGTATGGAACAGCAGCATGCAATTTGTTATAGAGCTCCTCCCAGAACGACGGCTCGTATTCATTCGTATGCAAACGACTTTTCCACAGTCCCACGATTGGTGGAGGGGAGGAGGCGGCTCATTATTCTCAAATCGATCCAGTAGGTCCGAAGGAATATAAGCAGGACCGGAAGAACTCTCCCGAAGCCTGGTTCGAGCCATGTATGATCTTCTTCTCAACAACTGGTTGGTTCGTGGTTATTTGAGCGCGCATTGATTTGAGCGCAAAATCGATCTGAGCGCAGAAGTAATTTCAGCGCTCTGAGGTTAGGCCACGAGGTGGCCTGAGCCCAATTTTTCACCCCACCGCCCCGAGCTAAGGTTCAGTCCGCCTCTTGATGTCGGAACTCCGAATTGCGGGGGTCTAACCCAACCCCACTCACTCTGTGGCCTTTGTTGAAACAAAATTCGTTGCGAATATTCGATAAAATATTTGATAAGTAAATAAACGTAATTGCGCGCTCAAATCAATCATGCGCTCAAGTCGATTTCGCTCTGCTTAACTCCGCTCAAATCAAGATCGCTCAGATCAGTTTCGCTCAAATCGATATCGCGAGAACCTCTTTCGCTCAAATCAGTATCGCGCACATCGATCATGCGCTCAAATCACCCGGTAGCCCGTCAGCGAAGAGCGCTGCTTACTGATATGCTACAGCCCCAACAGCTATGCATATCAGTAAGCAGCGCTCTTCGCTGACGGAGCTCACACCTCCTCTTCATAGAGGTTCGTCGGTGAGGGATAACACAATCTCCGAGGATTTCGTGAGTCCGAGGCGAGCATTCGAAGCGGCAGTCGTTTGACGCTGACCTCTGCTCCAGCGTCTGCTTGTTGGAGGTGAAGGGTGAACAGAGAAATCACCAATCGAGCCCAAGGACGGACGAGACGATGCAGGGGAAGATTACGCCGCGGGAGAGAAAGAAAAATCCAATTCATTTGCGACTCGGAGAGATGTCCGCCCTTATCTTTACAGGCCTGTCAATACCTCTCGCCGAAGAAGCCATCCACTTTTTTCCGGCCGTCGGGAGCTCCTCTTATTTCCGCTCACAGAGAGTTTTCGTGTCCCGAAACGCATTTTTGCTCCCTGTCGTCCCTCTCTTGCCTCCGTTCCCCGACGATCCGTTGCGAGTTGATGTCCTTACCCGCCGTCCCTTAATCCAGCCGCAATATTCACGTGATCTACCCCGCAAAGGACCCAATCGAGCCGCGTCATGTTCCAGCACCACGGAGAGTCCCGTGGTGACGGCCATCAGATTCCTGTATGGGTTTAACGAAGGCCCGAGTAGATCGAGTGGGCTAGCCAGTAGAAGGGAGACGAAGGTCGCTCTACTCAATGAAGCGGCTCTCATACGGCTCCCCCTCGGCTGGCGGCTCGGATACTGATGCGTCTGCCGCCACAGAGCCGCCGGGATGCAGCGGATTTTTTGAAGCGTGTAATATCCACGCTATTAGATTAGAATATGTGTCGGCGATACTTGGCCGTCGTCTTAATCACAATCTTGACTCTTCTATGACGACGTTCCTATCGAACTTGATGGTAATCACGATTATCTCCCGCGTCGCTATCGAAATAGTCGCTCCACGGGGCAGAAGCTCGATGATGTGAGTCATGTGAAAGGATCAGCGAACGGAAGGCGGACTGACCAAACGGCCTTCCGGTCCATCGGCCGTGAATAATCGACAGGGGAGCTTCCGGAGAGCGGCGAAGATCGCAAGACGTCGACACAACGATCAGAAGTCAAACGCTGTCGACAAACTCATTGTGTGCTTTCATGATATGTATTTGAATATATACTATAATGTATCCTCCGGAATCTTGCGCGAACATCTGACAATGAATGAAGGCGTCTCCAGACAGCGAGCGCTCTCCGACGCCTCGTCTTGCCGATTGTCACGAAGCGAGATCGCTTTCTGCATCCGTCTCCCGAGAGGAGGACCAGGCCTCGGCATCAGTTTCTTACCAAAGCCCGTGACGGCGGCTCGCAGGACGTACAAAGAGCCTTACTGGCCTAGTGGTGACGGTTTTGTTTCAGGTCCCTCAGCGGGTGCGCGAGCTTGCGAATCGGAAAGCCGGCGGCCGATCGTTCGTTGTTCTCCGGGGAGTGTTACAGTTCTTCGTGAATGCTCGTCCGCTCCCCTACTAGCATGTCGCCCCCTTCGCGTGAAAGAGTGCAAGGACCACTTTCAAAGTATACTTGAGCTCGCATAAGAACACCGATTTTAATCAGCGCCCGCTCTTCATTAAGAAGTTTCTCTCAGTCTGAGCTCTTCCGAATTCCCTCTCTTGTTCCCGCTGCTCGGCTGCTCGGCGCCTGCTGCGCCGGCCGTCGACTTCTTCCAAACCTCTGTCGTTACGTCAGCTGAGCGCTGTTCGGAATTCTCGGCCAGGCAAGCAAATGACCACCGAGCCTCGGTCCGCGCGCTTCCGGCAGCGAACGGCTTCCTTCGCCGCCGAAGCGCGGCCGAAAAGTGATGCTAACGGACCGAAGACGAGCGACCTCTGACGAACCAAAGGGGCAGGAGTTCAGGGGAGCGATGCTGATAGAGAGCAACAGGGGTTATCTTGCCCGATTTTTCGCTCGGCAGCTCCTCACGTCATTCTAATTCCTTCGAGCGCGCCACGGGGAATCGGCCGTCAGCTTGAAAGCCACAAGGCGATATCCAGTCTACCGCATCGTCAATCGTTAGAGTCCGCCGGGAATACCCCAACCGGATGCGTTGGCACGACGACGACTCTCTAGAAGAGGGATTTCCATGGGTTCTTCGATCCAGTTTGCCAAATTCATTCATCTCACTCACTCATTCATTCGCTTCTCCATTCATTCACCCAGTCAGTCATCCATCTGAGGCAAGCAAGCCTTCCACCCACCCGCTAACACACTCATTCAGCCGGCGTAGCCAAACACCGCAGAAAGCGTGCCGATAGTTACGGCAATAGTGGAAACACAGAACGACGGACAAGCAAACTGTTCGGCGTAAGCTCGTGTCGTCTCTCCCGCTACCGCAGCGGCGGCGTTAAAGCTCCCTGGTGATCAATATATGTTCGTACCCCATGCCGCTGGCAAGCGGAGCATCGCGCTATCCTGGCCTTTTAGGCATTCGGCAGAGTTTCCTTATCAGAACCTCCACCGCTTGCCGGTCGGTTTGGGGTTTCGAGCGACCCGACCGACGACCAGCTACAGCTTCCGAAGGTTTCTGTCATTCGCACAGGGAGTTCCAACGTTGAAAAGTCTAATGTTAAGGATAGTCGTATGGACGAGAATTCGCCCGGTAAAGTCGTGGCTTCCTCTTGCGGAGCCCGGGAACGCGTAACGCCGGTGTCCATGCAGCCGAACACTCGAATTCCAATGCACCTGACATTCCTCAGCGGCAGCCAGTCTTCCACAAAGGAAGGACGATCGGCAGATCACGGCAAGTGACAAAAATAGCGTGGCGAATACACTCTAGGGCTCAAATTTACAGCGTGTTTCCCTTTATTCTTTATGTGATGATATTGACCTTGTTGCAAGGCTCTTCAAGCGACCCGAGACCTAGACACAGAGCTTGTGATGCACTGCTCGACTTGATGTCGCGGCCGCAGGCGCGCGCCTCTTGTCGTCGTCGTCGCCACCAGCTCTAGAAACGGCGGTTTCGCGACTCAACGATGTCTACCATAGAATCTCCCAGAATCTGCGATCTCTCGCGCGAATTAACAGCCTCCGATGAGGAACTACGCTTTCCGTTTCATTGAAAAGACAGCGGCTATTTCTGCTCGAAGCTGGGGACGATCCCGGCGGAATCGAATTCCAATGAAATCATCCCTAATGATCACCTCAATGCTCATCCGATCGTTTTATTACGGTTCCGCCATTCGGTAGATTCAATCGGAAGCGCTTCGATCATCCCCGAATATCAAAAAATGGAGCGAAAAACTGTCGCATTCAATGATGATACGGATAGGATCTATCGGAGTCACGTTCAGTTGTCGCCTCATTTTGCGGCTCCTCCACACACCGACGAACGATGAACTAGACGAACCATGATGCTCGAACGAGATGGCAACTACAGACGCTGGAAGCTCGTCCGGTCTCACATTGGCTCGCTCGGACTGAAGTGGCTCAAAATCGTACTAGAGGTTCCTGTAATCCTCGGTGACGGATCGCTGCGGGAAAGTGCCCCAGCGAGGAAGTTCCGATTGGCTCGCTTCGCGAGCGCTGCTAATTCTTTTTCTTCATCAGGGAGCTAAGCTTGTCTGCTCGCACAAAAATATTTGGCAGGTGTCCGCCGCTCCCGAGGAGGATATGGGAGCGTCAACAACAGCAGTTCGGGCGAGCCGTACGATCGTGTGTATGGTCGCACGGCCGACTGTCGGGCTCTCTATAAAGGACACCGCTGCCATCGTCGCTGCAACGGCTGCCCCGGAGAGAATTATTTGAAAAAGTGGCAAACAGGGAGACGCGTCAGCTCTCCCTCTGGAAGACGTCAGATGAGCAGTGAGCCGGAGTTTGCGAACGAACAAGCAACCGAGCGGACGCTATGAACCGCTCGACCGAGGCGGCATATTTCAGTTTCCCCTCCTCAGGGACCCGCCCCCCCCCCTCCCTTCCGGCTGCCAGCGCCTCGATTGGCCCCGTTTTCCGCTCTCCAGTTCCGTGTATCTCTTCTCCACTCGGAGCTCCCTCATTCCCCGAAGCGGCGGCTGCCGCTGGTTCATCTCCACGCCGAAGGACAAAAAAGGCCAACAGTCGCCGAATTACAGGAGGAGAAACTCAAAACCGACGCAGCCCCGGCTACGACGGCGAGAGGCCGAGAATTGCGCTCTTCATCGAATTATGGGAGTCTCTCGTTCCGTCATGGAGGGCAACATCGTGGAGCGAAGTTTCTTCTCGGCCGCGGTTTCCACTCGAAGAAGAGAAACCGGACGGCTGAAAACTTGGTGAGGAATTGTTCCGACGGCGTCGCCGACTCGTATCCGACTGGAGGACTCGCCTTCCTTCTGGAAATCGGCCCAGATCTCTGAACTTTTCGGTCGCGAGAGATTCGCGCCTCGCTCGTTTTCCGGAATCATTCGAGGTCTTGGCTTGGAATCACGAGTAGAAACCCACTCAGTATGCAGCGATCAGCTTCGGATGGCAAGTCCGAAGTCACGCTTGCGTCGATGAGAAACGTGGAGTGAGGACTTGCCTCTGGATGCTCTTCATCGACCCATCATGTCTGTGCGGTGTCCTCCGAGAGGTAACACCGACTGGGCTATCGAGGAAACGAGACCTACTGTCCGTCGATTAAATTCGGGAGCGAATACCTTCCTCTCCGATTCCCATGGCCTCTCTGTGAAGGGCCCGACCACCCGACAGAGCTCAGCTCTCAACTCGACGCCACAATCACCGAGCGCCACTGAAATAGCGGCCGTTTCGATAGGCGACCGATTTTATGGTTCTCGGAGATGTCACGGCTCAACGGAGTCCCTGCTCTAAATGTCTGTTCCCGGACCTGCAGCTTCGGAAAGCGCTTTATTCCTTGGTCTATATGTAGATCGATTTGCGAGCTCGGACAGGATAGAAAGATCTTTCCTCTAGCGAATCTGTCGAGGGAGACCGTGAAAGTCGACCCAAGCCCCCCCCCGCCCTGCCAAGATACGTATTTATCCGAGATATTCTCGAGCCCGCCCTTTCCGTTTCCCGTGCAAGGCCTCCCCGCAAACTTCGAACAGCCTCTTGAATAGGAGAGCTCTACAAGCCTTAGAACGGCCAGGGAGCCCGTCGGGAGGCATCGGCGATGTAGGAATCGCATTCGGATGTCACTCCATGGAGTCGGACTTCTATTTCCGGAAATCTGTGATTGTGATCTCAGCAACAACTTCCGACGCGTCCACCAATGAGTCGATTCGCGAACGACTCTTGCGAGGAAGGAGCATCACATGAAGGTTCGTGTTGAAATTCGGGATCTAATTAGTACTCATCGATACTCACCGACTGCTGTGGCGAGGTAAGCGCAGAGGACCCAGGACGCCAAGGCCCATCGAACCGATGAGTTCCCAGGACCCATACCGTCGTGGTAGAGCATTTTGGCTTTCTGTTTATTTGATCGGAACGTTATCGAGAGGGGGCGTCTTCTCGTTTCTCTCTCCTTGATCCTGTGGAGGAGTTTACCCCTTGGCTCAACACCTGTGAGCCGTCGCGGTCCGGTTGTTTCGACGAAAACTTTGTGCTGATGGTCCTCTCTCTACAGGATGACACGTGAGTCGAGGGGAGAGGTCCCGAGAGTTGTTCCCGAGAAGCCTCGAGCGAAGCGGATGTTTATTTCAATCCGATGGAGGAGCTGGCTCGGCGAATTTCATCAGGCGTCTCGATAGTCCACCGAATTGTTTTCTAGCCTCACCGGAAATGAATCCGCGCACAGCGAACTTGTTTTCGAGGAATCGTCGTTGATTAGGATGTGCTCACCGCACGCGAGAGATCGCTTGATCGTCGTCGTCGCAGGAACGGTCGAACGAACATAGGAACGGCGAATGGAAGTTTTCGCCTCTTCTCCTTCAGTTGTCGTTTGTTTTTATTAACTGATGATGAAGATTCATGGAACAAACAGTCACTCACAGCAGATGAGTCGGCCGGCCGACCAGCAAACAAATAGGCGGAATAGCGTCCCTCTGATGACGCGTTAACGACCCGATAGCGTTTGCGTCGCTTCGTGGAAGGCGTAGATTGGAGTTCTGCGAGTAGCGGTGAAACAATAGTTGCTACATACAGTTTTCGATGCCGATGGGCAACAACGAAACGGCGCCTATGTGTTGAGCTTTCCTCGAAGAGATCGTTGCAGGAAATATTATCATTGATAATGATGATGATGATGATGATGATGATACCAACAACAACGAGACACCCAGATAAGAGCTAACAGGCGTAAAAAACCGGTTGGAGGAGCGAGTTGGCATTCATTTAACACAGAACACTATCCGCACGATTCCGGAACTTCCACGATGATGTTACGCAACCTATACTCGATTCTCGTTGATACCGCCGCTGATGATGATGATTGTAATACCGTGTGGATGCGGGGCGTGGCGAATTGCGGCGGGTCGCGAAGGTACTGGTGCAGGCAGCGACGGGCGGACAGGCGGACGGTTCGCAGCAGCGACGGTCGTCGTTCTCGCGAGTTCCCCGCGACAAGTCGAAGTCAGCCCGAGGCACCTATTAAATGTTCCCTTGTTTCTCCCAGTTTTCTACTCGGTCCGAGTCGCTCCCTCTTCGTATCCCAGCGTTGCTCCACTTGCAGTTACACTCGCACACGCTCTGGAACTGTGTGTCTTTGCGGGAACTCTCTGGCGAATTGAAATCAGCCAGCCAACCGACCCCCGCACGTTTGGATGCTGCAGCGGGCACCGTCGAAAACACGAACTCACACTGGAAGGAGCGGAGACGTGTAGCAGAACGAAGAGGAATCGGAAAGGTGCGAAGGCGACGATAATAGGAGGGTAGTAGAAACTTTCGCGGTCGTCGTCACACTGACGATGATGATAAATAATCAATATGACAGCGGAAGAATAGGACGTGGCATAGACGATGACGACCGGAACGAGTTTGAGGATACGTTCGCAAGTTCCAACGAGAGAAACAGGTCTAGCGGAGGGACAACGACAACCAGACGATTGGTCCCACGTAGCACCGTCAATAAGTTGATATCGAAGTGGACGAAGAACGTCTGAATGACGATTCCTCGCGAGGCTCGATAAACATGAACAAGGGGTGCAGGGGTTGGTTCCTACGCAACCGCTACAACTGCGGGTGTTATTGTTGTTGTTCCGGGTGGTGTTCTTGGTGAGGATGCGGTTCCTTTCAACGTAGAGAACGGAACACGGGGGAATTCGTTTGATTCATGGAGTTAACAGTAAAGCAAACAGACCGATTGCACTCGATCGGACAGGAGCGTCCGCATTGAGGCTTCCCCGATAACTATTCGGATGGAATCTCGCTGTCGATCAGGAGCGCCCGATGCAGCTTCTCTCCGGGCTTATCTGACGACAGACGAATTAAGCCAACAACGACGGAAGGAGTTGGGTCTCGACAATTAACTTGGGCTTGTGTCGACTCGGTCGTTTTCACCGCGGATCCGGAACGGTTCTGCTTTTGGGGGCTTCGGTGCTCGAGGTCATTGCGAAGCCACCAGGTGATCACCTGGTCTTCAGCATCCCTCTGGACGTCCTGATAGCTGCTGCTGCTGCTCTTTCCCTTCCAATAATTGTGGCTATTGTTGTTCCCGATGGTCTTTCAGTCTCTTCTACTTCTTCTGCTCGGGACCGGTGCCACTACAGAGCTCAAATCGGTGGGGAACGAAAAAACAAGACTACTCCGCGCGCCTTGTCCCTCCCTTGCTTCCAGTCGGTGGCTCGGGAGCGCCACGGAAAACAGTGATGGAGGCCAGACTCACTCGGTCGTCGTTGCTGTGGTCGACGAAACGTCTCACAGTTCACGATCAAGCACCAACGTCGAACACCAAGGAGCCTCGGCGGAGGCGATTCCAACAGGGGATGGCTCGAGAGCGAAGGGACAACGCGGCCTGCTCGCCACGGACGAACTACGTGCGGCAACGGTGGCAGCAGAGAAAACAACGCTTTCAACGACGGGGCCGCGTAGTCGCCCCGGAGGGCCGGACAAGCACATCACCACTCGAACACTATCACCAAGGACGACACACGTTGTCGATGGTACGAGAACACTTGGTGAAAGCGGGCAAATTCATGCAAACTCCACTTGCACTTGCCCGAGTCCGCGGGATCGGCTCGATCTCGGTCTCGAATTGGGACACACTGTTGTTTGAGAGAAGATGCAGAGTGGCCGGCGCATGCCCAGAACAGTGGCCTAGGCCACTCGCCAGAGGGCTCTGCTCGCCAACCGAGTGCTTGGCGGGACGATGAGCGCCACATGCAGGAAGCCACCCAGCCAGCCTTACCAACCGACTCCACTCGCTTCGGCTTTACTAGCGGCGGCGGCAGCGGTGCTGCCACCATCGACGATGGCGACGACGACCACCGCGGCCGCTGCTGCCGGCGACGTCGACGAACGAGGGCGGAGGGGGGGATCGAGGGGCGAAGCTGGGGAGAGCAGAGCAATAGAGAGAAATAGCGCACGGACCAGCGGATGCACGGATGGACGGTTGAAGGGACGACGGACGGTCAGCCAACCTAACGGAAAAGAACGACTCATGGGCGGTGGCCAGCGGACTTCATTTCACACCGAGGGTGTCTTGACAGCCCTCATATCCGCGCCACGTATCCTTCGCGTCTCTTCCGCGGATCCTCGTTCTCACACTTTCCGGCCTCGTCTTTGGCAAGCTTCGGAGTATCGGACTTCGGATGTATCCCACACAAGGTTTCTTTTTCCATGGAAGCGACGCCTACGCTCGGGGAATCCCTTCGCCTCATTCCGCCATGTTCCAACGACCCTCGTTCTCCCTCATCTTCAGAAGAGCCCATGGCCTTGACTCTCATAACATCTGTTCCTTTTCCATTAATTCTGAATGCTTCGCGTGTTCTCCGTCATGTCCCAAATTCATTCCTCTGAAACTAATTCGGTGGCCTTGACAGAGGGCGCTTGGTTCAAGGATGATGTGGCAAAGAGATTACTTCGGAGACTCGGGCGTCAAGGGTACGGGGGCGATTTGCGAACCTATCCGAAGCCTTCCGCCGACACTCTGCCGCAGTCTGTCCTCTTCGGAGCAGGTGGTCGGGAGCGGGCGAGCGTTCAAGCGAACGTATGGGTTGCTTCCAAGAAAACAGTGCGAAGGCTTCGTTCCGGGAAGTCTGACGATTTCCACGAATTCCGTCCCCAAACCCTATCCGTTCCCTTGCACTCCCCGGATCTTCGGGGAGTGCGAAGGGATTTCCGGCTCTCGCCGGATGTATTTCCCTCACGGAGACCGTATCCCAATGGGATCGACGACGTACACGGGCTCAGCGGGAACATCTATGGGAACGTGCTGATTTACCCCCCCACCCCCACCATTGCTTCGGGGATCTAGATCGCGAGCGATCAGCTTCGCAGCTTGTCGACTCAGAACCCCGAATGTCGCTGATTCGAAACTCACGTCAGTGATCGAGAGGTGCCTCGATCGAAAGGTGACTCGCGGAACGATTGCGAGGTCTGGAAAGGCTTCGGGATATGATCCATTTCTCCTCCCTCGGGTTCGATAGCTCGTGGAGTGGACGGACAACTCGCAGAGCGCGGCCCGTTCTTCGATCTCACCCTCCATGGCGAAACGTACGGAGAAGAAGAAGAAACAGAAAAAACACTCCCTCGACCTCGAAAGAAAACCGTAAAACATCGTCGTCCTTCGAAAACATTTTCATGTATGTCGTGGCCGTAGCGGCGGGGCTCGAGAGGAGAACTGCGTTTTCAAGATGTTCTCTCGATGCTCTTGCCAAGTGCCAAGGTCACGCGGCTCTTAGCGAAAGAAAAATCGGGGCTCCACATATGTATCGAATGGGTGCATGAATGATGAATGTATGGAGATGGCCGTGTAGAGCAATGAGGTTACGCAATGAAGGCAGCAGAGTCCAACGCAACAATTGGTAATAATAATCAATGATCTATGATGTATCCATTTATATCAGGTAATCACTTGAAGTGGTTTATACCGAGCACAGTCCTGCGAATAAAATCGATGTATGAATATCGGCTGACAGGTCCCCGGGTCTGAGACCTTTCGATCGGGGCGCATCTATCGGCCTGTTAAACGAAAGCCGTAAAACATCCAGAAGCGGCCACTGATTCTATCTTTCTGAAGTCCAGCCAGCTTCGGGTCTCAGCCGGCGATCAACGATGCGCTCAAAGGAGACAACAAGCTAAACAACAAAGGCAGAGATAAGAAGCCTCTACTCGAGCTCGGACAGACAAGACAATGGCAGGACCACGATGTTGGTAATGTATGGCAGGAATGCGCCTCAGAGAATTCTGCGATGGATCCGGCGGAAACAGGCGCGATACCACCAAGGTTCAGATTGCGCTGCAGTCGAATACTTTTCTCTTAAGGCTCCATCATGAGATTCCTGCTATTAGCGGGTCGGTCGTTCGCGAACACCACCATGGGAAGCTCCGTCGAAGGAGGAACTCATACAAAAACACTGGAAAAGGAATTTCTCCGCTTTAATTTGCTGCCATTCCAGGTGCTGAAGCGGAACACTTTCCGAAAAAGCGATAGACGTTGGAGTGATTACCGAGCAGTTGACGGATGAAAACCCTTCGAGAGCCGAGCAAGTGCGGCGCTCAACCCGCCACCGCGCAGAGTAGTTCGAAGCGGGCTCAACAGAGTAGCGAGCGGATCAAGCTTTCGCCGGCGAGAGCACTACACAGATCTAGAACAACACTCTAATTTTCTCACCGTGCCGGGCTAGCTGATCCGTAGTAAGAGAAACTGGCTCTCATCTTCCTCTCTTTCTCCTGTGTCTCACGAGAGCAGCTCTAGTGTTCTGATAAATTAGACCTAAAACGTACGAGCGCAAGGTAATCATCGTTGAACAATCCGGCCACAGTGCAGCCCACGAGCGAAGCTGCTTCACTCATCGCTCAGGTTTCCAACGAAGATTCATCATCATATCTTCGCTTCGTAGGCCCCGGAAAGAAGTGTCTGTCCGTCTGAGACTGTATTGATCGACTCGATGCTGGATTAAGGGAAGGTGGGTCGCTTGCGACTCGGAATGTGTGCTCCTCTTGCTTAGAGGAAGGAGAAATAAGTTTATATAATAACGGATATAAACCGTCCGGTTATTATGAGTTTATTAATAAATGAACGAATAATAACCGGACGGTTCCCGGTTTCCGCATTGGAGGGCTGATGCTCGGGCTCGACGCACCGGATCCCTCATCGGGACATTGTCCATACCACCCTGCAGGATCGATCGAACGGATGGTGGAGATCTAGATTGAAGGAGACTCTGCTTGGAGCAGAGATTGATTCCAAAGTGTCGTTCCGGGGCTGAGGATGATCTAGGACGTCCACTAGAGTTGGAGGTCTAAGAGTGGGGGCGAAGCCGCGGGAGGGTGCTGATGTACACGTGAATCCTCTCCTTATGTGAGGGTGCGGGACGTCAAAGCCGCGGGATAGGAGCGATATCCCTTCCCCGGATCTGCCGATATCGAGACCGGCCCGCGGCCGATCATCAACTTGAAGGTCCTGAGAAATCGTTGATTCTGACCAATTCGGGGCTCGAGCGAAATTTTTCTGGGGATAATCTCAAATCGCTCAAGCGGACGGTTTCCGTGACGTTGCGAGGAACAGTTTTTGTGTAAGCCATGAGAGGAGGGAGGAATCCATGAATGACCTCGATGGGACTTCACCACCTGTCGAATCAAGCTCCATCGCTTTCACAATATTCTACGAATCGAGGGCAGACCATCTTGATGACGAAGCTGGATATGCGATGTCTAGGAGCCCAGGTCGACTAAATCGTTTTATATGAGCTCATCCTCCTTGCACGATCGACACTCTTCCTCGTGATGGGATAGAATGTTCCGGAACTCCGAGTCAAGCCGCTGCTCGGAGACCATTATCACGGCGTTTGCTGATAACATGGCGAGATTTCCGAAAAACTCGAGAAGTCCTTTCACCTCACGACGGGGGCTCGCACTCCATCCTGGATTCCATCATAAACTACCAGGCTGTGTGGAGGCATGGGTCAATTCTCGGAAGGGCTCGAATAGGGAAATATCTCAAACCACGTGCGAACACTCCGCGCGTAACATTTGCGATTCCTCGACGAATCTTCAGGTGGGGAACAGTCGCTTTCCCATCAAGGACTGATGCGGGGCATCACTTAGCGCGGATAGCTTCTGGGAATCGGATGCAAGAGTCCGGATGGGTACTCCGCGGATAAGTTCCTCTTGAGAGGGTGGTGAACATGATATTCACGTCGTATTTCTCAACGAATCTGATCCACGTGCTTCCCGGAATTGTTCAGAACTTTTATAGCCATGCTTCGAAGAGCCTCTGGATATCGTCCGGCAGAGGATTGAGGATTCCTGAGTTACAAAACTATGTCAAGACACTCTTCCGGACATCTCGACAGCATTGTTCCGTGTACGGGAGGCAGACACCGCGACTCATTATTGTTTCTCGACAGAATGATTCCGCTTGCGCGGTTCTAGAGCTCTGCGCTAAGCGGACCCTTGATGGAAGGGTCCATGCAGCGCGAAGAATTGCCGGCTCTGGCTGCATCACGGACAGCTGAGAGTCATCATGGTTGGGATTCGCGAGAGGCGGGCGCCGACCCGATCAAGTATTCAGGAGCGACCCTGACGACAGCAATTCAAGTTGTTTTTCGGCTCCTACAGGGGGGCTTGCGATAGCGGCCGGAGAAAAACGGACCGGACATCACAATGCTCGGCGAACAGACGACTTGCAGAATATACAATCAAACTGGGCCTGGCCTCCGCGGTTCTCGGCAACGCCAGCAAAGGGAACTCGGGGAACTCACTCAAAACAGTGCATGAAAGCCGGATCCTATGGCATAAATCCAGGGAACAGACCGATCCCCAATCATTTCATCATACTATCTCGTCATGGTAGGAGTGTCCCGATATACATCCCCGACATAAGGGAAACATGGTATTCCGCAGAGCTCACGACGGGAAAAGAGTCGGATCCGGAAAGGAAGCCGGAAAAATTCGCCTGATTTGTCGCTGAGCTTCCTAGAATCCATATGCGTAATAGAGTCATTGTGAGCTGATTGGATCGGAGCGGGATTGCGTACAGACGAGCCCCAGCTTACCGTACGCCGTCTCATTGCCGCACAGCACCCGGGCGAAGCTTGAAGCTCAGTCATGGGGTATCGGCATGATGGGTTCTGGAGATCGCTTTGGGGACCCCATTCGAAAAGCCCGGATAAGCACTTCTTGGACACAGAGACTCGAAATAGTCTGATCAGCGGTCCAGGACAGCCCCGTCCAGCCCCTCCGTTTTCTCAGAAGGCCCTCGTCCGCCTTGTTAACAACTCAGTGACACGACACCGCCACCGGGGCCGGTGGCTGCTCTGGCGGGGTTCTCGATAGAAATTCGTTTCTGGCCGCCGGTGAAATATGTAGCTCCAGGCACTGACTCATTCGGGGAAGTTCTGCGTTTTCAATGACAATCCAGGATGCTGCGAAGCTGTAGACGTGGGATACGACCGGGATTCGATGCTTGAAGGCGACGTAGGTACGGTGTAGCTCAGGAGTTCAAACGGCGGTGGGGAGCGATGTGTTCCTGAACGTGGGCAGGACCTGATTGGAAAGTCGGCCAGCTGTCGCCGGATTCAGTGGCGCACGCAGGATTTCTCTTGCAGCTCGCTCCCTACGGCCAAAAGCTCCGGAAGCGCTTCGAAAGGTTGAATTCAATCAGAACTCTTATTTTGTGATTTCTCAGCAGTCTCCGACGAGACCCGGGTACAGATGATCCGTGCAGACCCTCCCGACTTCCGGGCCGCTCATTCTGTTTGGAAGCCGAGGGCTGGGCGGCTTCGGGGATAGATCGGCGATTGCATTGAAAACACTATGGGGTAAGAGTCAGTATTTATTCACTCAACAGTGACGTTCTGCAGACCCTTGAAGGTGTCGACCATGACGACGGACACCAAGGTGTACAACTTGTTGGGAGAGTCGTCATCTTCGTTTCGCCTCCTGGAAGGGAAGCGAAATCGTGTCACAGTGGTTCTCGTTTTGGCGTTTCGGGAAGGGTCCTAAGGTCTGGTACCTGGTTAGGTTGGTGGTTATCAGCGGTAGACTCACCTCTGCAGACGAACGCGAATGCGGAAGGGAGGAGCACGAATTCCTCTGGTCCAGAGATGTCGGTTGAGACGGGTGTCAATCCTCACATCAGTGGTTCCCATGGCTTTCTGGGCGAACTGGCGGATCACCTTGATCGCACTGGGACGGAATGGGGAAAAGTCAGTCGAGGTTCATGCATTCCTGGGCGCATCGCTTGGAGTGCTCTCAATCAATGTATGCTGAATACCATCGAAACCGATGAACCACGGTATGAAACTCCGCTCGTGAGCAGATTCAGAGATCACGCTTGAGGGTATGAGTTCGATTCTCAGGGTTGATAGCCTTAGCTCAGACGATCGCATGTGATCTACAGCCCCTACATAAGTTCAAGTGCTGATCGCCATGCCGCTCTCATCGAATGCCGCCGTAAATACTTCAGCCGCGTAAAACCGTCTTGGCCAGACCCCCCCCCGGGACCCCAGATAATCAGCGGTGGGTTTTGATCACATTCTGAGCCCAGTCGTGAGTGTTCGGATCATCGGGAAAGCAAGATTTGCATTAGACCGCGACCAGGCACTCACCGGGGAGCTTTCTTCTTGAGACCAACTTTGTAGGTGTGCTTGTGCAGGTTGATGGTACACTCACGAGTCACCACCTCGTTCAGTGAACTCTTGCTCTTGTGAGTTTTCGCCATTTCGTGAGAAAAACGTCAAAATCGACGACGACCGCTACACGGAGGCTTCCCTACCACGTGTAAACGTCTGAAAAGGAGCAACAGAGGACCGGAAACCGAAACCAGTCCGAAGAGCTCCGCTAAATCGTCCCTGAAGCTGACGGAATTCATCGGGACTGACTCAATCTTATCCTGAAAACCCCGCGCGGATCGCTCCCATGGAAATCAGCCGAAAGCTTACACTTCGGAACCTCTTCTGGCGCGGGAACTGATTGTGATTGTGCAACTCTGAATTCCCGATTCTGGACAACCCGCTGAAACGGCGGACTCTCCAGACTTCCCGAATTCCCGAGACCGAGGAAACACTCCGAACACCAAGGTGAACTAAAGTGAACTGAATTCCCCGATGAATCGGCCGGGGGAGATAGAGTTTGAATCCGATGGCATGGATTTCCCCCGGGATGATTCGCAGCTTCGCGCGAGGAATCTGATTGATACATTCCTGTCTGCTCAGTCACGTAAACAGATGGGTTTTCTCGCTCTCTCGACGAGTCACCGGATCGCGCCCCATGGGCATGTTTGAGAGATCGTCCTCTGATGCTGACAATGCTCAAGGAGGGTGATATATCGATGCATGAGAAGAGAAATATTGCACGACCGAATAATCTCTGTTCGTTATCATTCCGTCTCGGAGGAATCGGAACTCCATCCCAGAGGGCTCTCGGGGCCCACGGATATTCTGTAGCTGATCTTCAAGGTCGATTTAATCGGGGACAGACGCTTACCCCAACGCTCGTGTGAGACCCGAGCCTTGGGAGAAACGGAAAATATTCATGTCATGGAAGTATAGCTCAGCTAAGCCTTCCCAGAAATAGGCAGGACGAGGAAGTTAGGATCTTCTCTTGAGGATCCTCATCCGTTGTCATCCTCGTGGATCCAGGTCCTCATGAGACGACATGTCTATCCCAAGAATCGGAGCAGGAACCCGCTCATGCCTCCTAAATCTTTGCCACCGTGGAGCTCAACTTTCGCGCAGCAGAAGGCGCAGATTCGATTCACAAACCATAGAATTAAGGTATCAGGAATCAGAGCTCAGAATAGGCGAGAGAACCGCAGAACTATAAGAAGGGTCGGGCCACTGGGAATCAGGCTAAATTTAGACCTGAGAGTCTTGATTGGGCGGTTGGGTTATTTAGGATGCATGACAATGTCTTACTCACTTACTGATATTTTTTGAGCTCGATCCTCAAAATAACTCGACTTCGACACAGTCCCTACCTCGAGCGCCAAAGAAGACCGAGTGGAGACCCTCCACAAAAGTTGTTCCTCTGAGGCCAGGGACGATGTCCCGAGCCGCTCGATACCTCCCCGCCATAGGCAAAACGAGACCTATCCAGTCGAAGTTTCTGGATTGGCGTCCGCGAAGTATGATAATTACCCAAATCACGAAGAGCTGCTCCTTCCGGTTAAGGTAGACTTGTCAGACTCTCCTTTGTTTATCATGCGTGTACCTCGCGCGAAATGCAATGATTGCGAATGCCCAAATTGTCTTATCTGAAATCGGGTTCGGCGGATATTTCTGTAGCTGATGAATCGCATCGGGAGATGAGTACGAATGCGTTGATGTGTTCCGTCGTGGAAGGGGCGGGAGGCTCGTCTCGAGCCAGCTCCCCCAGAGCTCTGCTTACCTACTAACTTGTTCGCTAAATGTTCATTGTGGAATATTTTCGTAGACTACAAAGAGAAGGTCCGATACCAGCTGCTGTTCGGAGTGAGAGGCATCTCACCTCTCTGGGGAAGTACCACATCCTCCCAGTATCCTTCTCTTCCCTGACGCTTCTCATTCATCGACACCATTCCCGAATCTCGCCGGACGCGCTTGTCTTCCCCGTCCCGCGACGAGACCGTGCGTACCAACCGCGCGGTATGAGTAGAGAAAGGCGAGTTGATGAACTTTCCGCAGTCTTATCACAGTCGAGAAGTAGAGCCCTTCCCTTATACTATTGCACAAATGCAACCATCCTTCACAGGAGCGAGATTCGAGGCACCCCCTAAAGGCGGGTCCCGTAGCATCACTTCCGTCTCTTTGGTGAAGGTTCGCCTGGGTAGAAATGGCTATCAGAGCGTCTCACTGGCCATGGTCGATGGACTCAATGACGTCAGGACTAGACTGCCTATTTGAAAGGACATCTCGATCCTAGTTGGACGGCTCGCTCCAACTCATTCCATGGGTCGACATTCATGATAGATAATGGTACGTGGCTCGGTTTTTTTTCAAGGTATGCCTCGGGATCAATGTAGAATGCACGTGAAGTTGAGATGACCGCTCAAATAGAGACTCCGTTCATGATTTTTGACCTATCCAATATCGGGGTTAGGATGAGGAGTTCCGACATCGCTGCTGATAGAAGGGGATGAGCTTACGTCAGCATTACAGGAATATTCAGTAACTACGCACGTCTGGACGGAGCCGGGACGATCCCACGAATGATTCAGCTTCAGAGAGCCGACTGACGGGATTCAAAGTCACGATCTGCAGCTCCCGACAAGCTCTGCCTTCGCGGGGGAAAAGTACACATGTGCTCTGAGCTCGCGAGAGAAGACCAGCGGAAATGGGGTCCTTATTGAGGAACATTCGGATGAAGGTTTTCTCCGGAAACCCCAGCTGCTTGCGGGAACGATTTCTGAAAGAGCATATATTGATAAAACTTGAGCCTCGTGTGTTAAGTCATACAGATGAGCTGTCCCCGAATTGGCCAGAGGAGATTACTGCCAGCTGTCATGGTATTCTACCGGAGCCCTCTCCTACCGGCCTCAGGAACGTCCTGGATCGCCGCGGAAGAGCCCCAGCTGGTGTAATCAGACAGCCGACCCGGACCTCATCCATGGACTATTGCTCGATATCGCCGATTGTGGAGCGAATGCAGGCAGATGGAATGCCGAGTCTCCGAGCAAATCCGAAATCGGGTAGAACTCAGGCGAGACTGACTGCGACCAGGTTTGCGAGAGATCGTTGGAGGTCTTTTTCTCCTAGACTCCTGAGCGGAGATTTTGGGGAAATTTATGAAGGGGAATTCACTCGGATGGATCTGTCAGCCTCAATGGGCTGAATGCAGTTCGGATCGAGGTTCCCGCATACTAAGTACTGGCGGCATACGGACTCGAGAGGTCGGCGAAATCATCATCAGCTTTAGTTTCGCTCTACAGTCTCGCCGGAACGACGGTTAAGCCCTTTGCGTGTTAATGAAGCGGTGGGCTCCTCCTCGAATCTTCGCCCGCGGCGCTATCCATATCTCCTGGCTAGAAGTGAGGAAATTCATTCATGCATCATCCATCCGTATACATAGTTCTGCTCTGCTCGGTCACTCTGATTGGATGCCTCAGCAGCAGAGGCGTGCCCAGAAGCGGGGGGGGGGGGCGAGGGGCCATGGCCCCCCCTCGAGATCTCTTTCTGGCCCATTGAGTCCATGTCGAGGCTCATCATCGGTAGTTGCCCCTGCCGAGGCTATGACCCCGCCCCCCGAAAAAAATTCCTGGGCAAGCGCCTGCTGAGCACAATGATTTTTTCGTCGATGCCCTAGATGCGACTGAAGCAGTCTTGATATCGGGGATGTTCCTCATTATGAATGGTAATGCTGGGGGAGCGGAAAATGTCGGACCCACAAACCTCCGAGAATCAGCGACTGAACCATCCCGCACTAGAGCTGATGCCCGGACTGGATCGAGAATGCCTAGCTTGGATTCCGGAGAATGGGTATGTTCCTCAACATTAACGGCATGGCCACGGGAGCGGAAAGAGTCGGATCCAGGAACGTCCGGGAGTGGCAGCGAGTGAAGCAGCTTGCAGTGGAGCTAGAGCTCTAGATGGAATCTAATAGTGAGAAGCCCAGCAGAAATTCCTGGGAGAGCGGACTTGGCCGTGCGCAGAAATCTCCGGAGAAGGGAGCGACAGAAGCATCGTTGACGATAGTTCAGCTGGGAAACGAGGCCAGTGAGAACATATCGGAAAATCTGGATCCGCCGCTAAAAGCAGAACGCTTTCGGCCAGAGAGAGACAGTCGTATGAATTTATTACGTATTTACATGATAGGTATTTGCTCATCAGTTAAAGGCCTCGGATTCGGCTGGCCGCGGATATCTCCTTATCGGCCGGACGTCGAAGCGTTGGAACCGTTTACAATGAAGATATCGATACTTCCAGACATCTGGCCGTTTCATTCATGGGTGACCTAAGACGTGTTCCTTCTTGGTAGAATTCTGCTCCATTTCGTTGCTGACTATCTGGGACTAAAAACATGCATATGTATTTTAAGTAATCTCGTATTTAGCTCCGACTAGTTTTTTCATCTGTGCTAGCCTACCTAACTACGTAAACGTATCGCGTTGTTCACCGACATTCTTAAAGCATAAACTCTTCTTGGGAGTGCTTCTTCTTTCCTCTGTATATATATATATATGTATATTTATATTTATATATATATTGTTTATTATCTCATTGCTTCCCCGCGAGCTATCTGAGATTCTTCCTTGTGATCTTTCCATCTCGACTCGAAGAAATTCCCTACGGAGTTCCCTGACCGGATCCCCCGGCACCATTTATCCCCATCGACGCGGCTTTCGCAGCCTGAGCTTGGCGTTCTTGCTCGTTGAGTTCCTTGATCGCTTGGATCTCCTGTGGGTGGTAAAGCAGACGAATTTCATTTGAGAACGAATATATCGGATTCGGCAAATGTCATTTCTGCATGTTGATCGGGATTTCGTTTCATTCGAAAAACTCAACCATGGGTCACCTTCTTAAGTTTCATGCGCCTGTTCTGGAACCAAATCTTAATTTGTCTCTCGGTCAGACAGAGCGCGTGGGCCATCTCGATTCTCCTCCGGCGCGTGAGATAGTGATTCGTGTGGAATTCTTTTTCGAGTTCCAGTGTTTGATAACGAGTGTAGGTTTGTCTGCCGCGACGTCGAAGTCCAGAAGCACCTGTAAGCGGAACATAAACATCATGGGTCCGATATTCCGAGTCAACGATCCATCACATCACCGTCTATGTACGGAAGCGGCGAGGCTGCATCTGATCGGCTCGAATAATCGCTTTTATTGCAGCAACGGCGCGAGAAATGTGATTTTTCGGATATTCCGCCATGAAGTGGAGGGGTGGAGGTGCTGAACGGATGCAGCACACGACCTGCTGAGCACTACTTTCGATTGCAGGTCGTTGATAGTGCGAATGATGGTTTTCATTTTACGCTTGTTGACGTATAAAATACAGTGGCTGGCACTCGTTTTCGCTAGCCTAATTAAAATGGCCACTTAAGCCGCTAATCAGTGTGAGGCCAGTGTCCGAGTCGGCAACAAAACCGATCCACCTCATGAGCTCGGGAGCAGGCTATAAAAAAAAGCATCGGCAACGACGACAACAGCAACAACGGCACCGAAAGGGACATTAGCTTGCCTGTTCGCCTTCTGTGTTCCTTTTACGAGTCTCAATGTTTGCTCGGACGGAAGGACCAACAAATGAACGAACAGACATACACTGCTCCATGTACGAGTCAAGCACCCAAACTTCAATGGTGAGTGTAGTACAGTCTGGCGCTCTTGTCGATGTTCGACGAGGAATGAGGGAGTGGAAACGACCGGAGGAATAAACGAGTGACGTCGATCCTTTTCGGTGGTCGAGCGAGCGAGGTACTGCATCGAAAGAATGTCTCAGCATCATCATATTTCCCTAGCCGACGGCATGACGGCCATAGTCCAGTGGTCCTGATTCCCTCGAGGAAGGCGTGAGGCGTGATCAATCCCGCAGATCGATTTCCCCGGCATCGGAAGACTTCCTCATGGATCGGCGATCGCCATAGAAGTTTCTCCGCGCGTTAGTCCCAACTCCTCGGATTGCTGCTCAATGCTGTCGTTGGGCGCGAGATTACCGCTGAGCACGAACTCTGTCGAAGCCTTTCCAGATCAGCTCGATGCTTTTTCCTTCTCTTTCATGTCTTTGCTAGTGCTGCGAGTGGTACTGCAGCTCTGGCTAGGACCATAAAATCTATAATATTGTCTATTTGTATTGACCGGACGGTGCGGCTGCCGTTGTTCGAGGTGGTAGCAGCCGCGGTGGAACGACAGCCTAAAAGAGAAAGCGAGCGAAGAGAAAACCGACCCGTCATTGGATGACCTCGAAGGCGAGGGCGCAAGCACAACGCCCATTGGTTCGTATGTTGAACGGAGGCGTGGTCTCCGAGCGGGGTAAAGCATCGCCGCTCTCTTCAGCGGGACCGGTTCTCGAACTATCCCTCTTTCTTACTCGGCTTCTTTCGCTCTACCACCTTTCCTTCGCTTGCTCTCTAGGCGAGGATACGGCAGCCGACCTCGGGGCCTTCGTGGGAAGGGGGGAATCCGGTGGGCTAGGGCAGCGCCGCCGCTGTTGCTGCTACCAAAACTTGAAATCTCGTTGGCTGGCCAACTCGCGACCGAAAGGAAGAACCAAAGAATGGGAGGAAACAGTAATGTGCGACAGAGAGGGATTATACTCGTCCCAACCCGATTCTATCCTCCAGGACCGGAGGAAGTCTTCCTCATATCCCATTCCAGTCCATTTCTCATCTGGTCATCGATAATATCTCATCGCGAGGGTGACTATCGATTCGATTCATCGAACAAGACTCGTCGATTTCAAGGCGCTGGAAAAAGCCCAAACAGAAGGATCCTCACCCGAGAGCTCACAATTCACAATGCGTCTCTGCAGCTCTGCCGGATTCAAGGATATGAACACCGAAGTAAAGGATTCCAACTCCAAGTGCGCAGTCATCGAGTACGGGTCATGATACCCTCTCTGTAGTATAAAGGTTCAAAGACCGAGATTCTTCGCTGGGAAATCGTCTCACTCAGAGAGACGAGTCGATGGAGCCTTCAATTTGTTCTGGGGTTTCATTCCGGATTCGGGTCGATTCCACGCCGCCGCCTCGGATAAACTTTCGTTACGACTGTCGTAGATTCGTCTTCCCGTTGCTCTGCTCATGGGAGGAGATTTTGTCTCTATCCGACTCAAGCTTTAGCCCAAAAGCATCCCGAAACTGCAAGACAATCTGCTAGCTCACTTCTTCCGGGCTGCATCCCTTCATCACGCTCGGAAAGACGCACGCCCGCATTTTAATTCTCTCACTTCGAGATCCCCCATCAACATGGACAACCGTTATCAACTATCTCTTGTAGTCTTCATAAGCTCCGCAAGTATTGAAAGTGAGACTCTGGTTCGGCTGTCCTTCTCTCTCGACGGGTGAACTCGAAACTTTGTATTCAAGAAGTGCGCGTAGACCCCGAAGATGTGCTCAATAGTGACACTGGGACGACCCAGCAGCTAGTGTTCGGTTGACCTCGCAGCAACAAGCAACTGGCAGCGACGACAAGCACCACTAAAAATAGAATTCGTTCTGGCTTCGAGAGTTATTGATTTCAAGCGCCAAATATCTCTGAGCGTTGTCTTTTTCTGGGGAAGTCTGTCGAAAATATTCTGCGAACGAGCGGTGAGCACTTATTCTGCCGAACAAAATCTTCGACGGTCGTTGCTTGCTGTGCGATTCACGTTGCTTCGGCTACAGCAGCAAAGAATCGAGAGACCTCAGCAAGAGTGGATATCGGCACGAAAGCCACTTCCGGTGGACGCGAGAGATCTGCCCCAACTGCCGTTTCCCAGATATGAACTGCCGAGTCGATCTCGAGAATCTCGAGAATCGAGTACATAATTACCCCGCCGTAAGCGATACCTTCCGCATTCCAGACGCATTATCTCGAGTCTCGAGATCCGAATTCTATTCTCAGCGCTTTCGAGTACCCTTGGAATCCAAACAAGAGCTTTTTGGCTCCTCCAAAGTTCGAAGTGGGTATTGGTTGTCGGCTTCTGCTCACACGAGGAGCAGACGCACGACGTCGAGCAACAGAGTCGCATTCGGTATAATTTATTCTGCGATTGCAGCATTGGGATGAACGTTATCTCCTGGCTAAATGCTCCATTCTACTTAGATGTGCACGCCGCGAGCGGCAGTCCATCTCCCGCCTATCTCTGATAAGAGAATGCCCGCTGCTACCGACTCGGCAGCGTTGGAATCACGGCGTCAAAGCTGACTTCTTTGCTCGGAGAAGACCGCGACACACTTCAATACAGCTGATAACATCGAGCTCTACGGTCATCAAAGCCGACTGCTGAACCTATGGAAATGACTGTCATCCCATTTCCACGCTCTATCAGTCGCCGCCATGAGCATGCGGGGAAGTCGACTTCGCCTGGTAAGCATGCGGCCGCAGGATCGCAAGGTGCGTAACTCAGTCGAGTCTCGAATATCTCTGAAGGAGGTTCATCTGCTCAATAGGAGTGGGCGTCACCATGAATCCTTCCCTGGATGATTGTAGGCTCTTGACACAATGCATATACATATGTATGCCCGAACTCGGGGTAAGTGTTGCCAAGTCCCGGTCTGATGTCGGACCCGACGGAAGTCCCTCTCGTATCGCGATTCTCGATACTCGTCCGGATGTTGCGGGAAACTGAACGGGCGTGCGTCTAAACCTCCCGAGCCGTTCCGACCTACGACCCAGGTTCATCAAAAACCACACGGCCACCACTGGTGCTCGGCTCATTAGGACTCTTTGGCATTTACGATAGCATTCCAAGAAGTGTACAGAACGCCCTCGTGTCTCCAAGAGTCCAAGCCCTCGCTTGTCTTTCCGAGCGATTCGGAGACCTACAGAGAGCGTGAAATCGCTTAGAGAGGAGGACCTTTCCGCAATCAATTTTTGTTCACGGGGATTGCCTAAGTGTTGGACAACTCGGCTCGGAGATGTTGTATAACCGTCCTGTCGGAGCCGAACATTGATTGGTTGGGATCGCCCGCAGAGATCAATTTAATTCCACGCTTATTCGGAGTTTTTCGTATCATCTCTCCATGTTATAAAATCAGCTCCTTTCTCAGTGCTCTTGTCGTCCATCAATGACGAAAAGCCGCGTCAGCAGAAGTTTGCGGGAAGCTGAGGGAGACTGATGTGGCTCGAGTCACGAACCGTTGCCACCCGAAGGTCTCAAGTCTCAATGCGGCATTGACTTTTTGAATTCCCTTTATTCATCCGATAGAAGTGCTGCTGAAGATACCTCCTTGGCGCGCGCTAACTTGTATTCAAATCGCAGGCAGTATGTGCTATTTAGGAAGCCTCTGGTTCAAAGTCACCTTGTTTTCGGAATGTCTCACCTAAAAATCCTGGAAAACCAGCCTGTTGGCGTGCGATATAGCTGTTGAGGCCTGAGGAAGAAAAACGAATAGACGTTAGATCTTTCATCCTGCTAGAACCCCGGGATTCCCCACTCCAGAACCCATGCACCATGTACATATAATCCGCCGGACTGGTCGAGACCTGGTGGAAATCCCGGGGATGGAGAATATCTGAATACCTAAATCATTCGACTTCCTCTCGAATCTCTCGAGGACGAGCGAGCCGGGAGGATACCGCAGTGATGGGATGGGGGACACTTTCCGTAACATTGTCATTTCGATCACTGGGCTCTCATCTCACGAATCCAAAACGGACAATCTGCAGGGCTCCTCGAGATTCATCGTGTATTCGCATCTTGCAGTTACAATACACTCGTACGATCCACTGTGCTTCGCAAAAAAACGCCGAAGCGGCAACCGAGCGCTTGGATAGGATGGGAATAGAACACTTCACCCGATGGGCGAGGTGATGCGCCACTCTCATTGAGTGACCTCGGTGCGTTGTTACAATCGTTTCGATAATTTCTGCGCGAACAGCCGATTCGGCCATCGAGCATACCCAGTCAGCCTGAAGCGATATAGACGACCACGAGGAGGACGATTGCCGCTGATGCTGCCTACCCTGCGTTGTATCCCAGGCTGTGTGTCCCGTCTCGCCGCCGTTGGGCCTCGCCGCTGCTGTAAATCATGAACCCGGAGGCCCATCTGGTCTTTCACTGACGGAACGATCTGAGTGAGCGCGCGCGGCGAATCTATGTACAGCAGTCGTCAGAGCCCACTTATGTGTTGGAGAGCCTCTCGCGCATAAAACCATCATATAGCAACTAAGCAACCATTTTGAGCAGTTTATCTCTCATCACAATCGATATATTGGACCGTCGCTACTATTCGCTCTGTTAAGGCGAATCCCGGAGAGCAGCGCTCGGCCCCAACGTCGACGAACTTATCCGAATCATCCCCATTGGCTTTCAGACACAGATACGAAAGGAGTCTCGTCTCGGCGGGCATCAAGGAATATCAGGGTTCCGTACGGACCTTCCGGTGGAATAATCGGCGGATGGCACTTCGCATTGAATTTCAGAGACCTGATTCGGCGACGATTCCAAAGTCGTCTGCTTCCCCACGCAGCGCGGCGTCAATTCACTGAATCGAACGGTATGAGCTTTCCTCTAAGCGATAAGTCGGCGACGATCTGTATCCGTCAGAGACAGCCTCATAAATCGAAGACCATAGCTTGACGCATTTTTCTCTCGATGGACACTCGTTGCATGGAACGCCAACGATGCATTCTCACATGAACACGGTCGTAGGGAACGGAGTCTCCTTTTGGGACCAAATGAGTCGAATTGTTCTGTGGGAGTAAAGCTCAGATGCTCCAGGTTTCTGAGCGTTGGAATTGGAGGGATCGGTTCCTCGGGACTCTCCGCTTTGATCTCTCGTAACTCGAGAGTCTACGCTTGAGAGCGGGCTCTATATGGGCCTGGAGGTCTACCAATCCCACTGGATTTTATTCCATGGATCAACGCTCGCCGATCCGAGTCCTTCTCAGAAGGGGGTCGTCAATATCGTTCACAGGTTATCTTCATATATGGAGTCTCATTTGGTCGGATTGAAATTCTCTGGCTCTATTCGTCTTCTTATTCTGATGGATTGACTACGAACGAACAAGCGAGAGATACTGGTGAAAAGTTCGTTGTTTGACTTGCTGCTTCTATAATTTCGGATTCTGAGAATTGGCCGCAGCGCCTCTCGTTCTTCTCGAAAGCCACAGGGAAGAGGATGTAGAAGCTAACAGCCAAGAGAGAAGGGGAATTTCATCCAATTGCTATTTATCTCTTGGATGCTCTCGATTCAGATGGCTTCTTTCGTTTTCTATCGCCGTCGCTGCTCTCCTTAAAAGGACAGACCTCGAACAGGCGAGAAACATTCATAGAGATGGTCGGACTATCGCCGAATCTGGCGGGTACCGCACGGAAGGCTCGTTCACCTACGCTCTGTGAGCCATGACTTCGGTACTCTTCATTGGTATCGCGCTCGATAGGCCAACTGGATCGTTCACTTTCATCCGGAACCTTTCGGTACCGAGCACGGTTCTTGACCAGCCAAAACATGCCCAATTCGTGATCACAGTCGTCGGACTCAATGTCTCTCTGGGAAGATCCTCTCGCAGCGTTTGGCGATCAGGCGGAAGACGCGCAGACAGACCCATGAGGAGATATAGGTTCGCCGTCCGAGTTCAGCTCTCTGGTTCTTTCATTCTACCCTCTCGGCTGTAAATTCTCATTTCGCGGGACGTGGTTGGTATCCCCTCCTCCTCCTCTTCTTCCTCCTGATGTTGGCCACGGCTCCTTCCTCTAAGGCTTCTTCGTATGTAGATCTCTTCTAGCATCGGAAACCACATCATTGCATTCTCAACAATGGAAGCTCGCTGAGTTCGCACTGAGTTCTCGCCTCAGTTCTCGCTCAGGTCGAGAGAACGCTCCCACTGCAAAGAGGCGAGAGGGCCGAGGAGATCCGAACGACGAAAAGACCGGAGCGGCTTCCTGAACGCAAATATTGTTTTCCCCGAGATACGGGGAAGAGACAGGAAGCTCAACGAGCTGGAGAGGATTTTCCGCACTCGAACGTCTGCCGGGTTTTTATTTCGAATTGTGTGAAGCAGCCCTTGAAGACATGAGTTTTCGATCCGCTCCCCGTTTCACGTTCCAAGAGGTCAGCTCTTGCCTCTTTGAACGCTCCCGCGGCGAAAGAGAATGAACGAAGGAGTCCTTGGATCGTCTGCTCCAGGCTTAAGATATGCTCGAACGTCGACTTGGGTGGCAAAGGCAAACGGAACGACAACTGCGCTCGCACTTCGTTTTGGCGAAAGGCAAAATCACGCGATGTACGGAATCAGAAAAAGAAATTTCGGTAATCCGCCCCAAGAATCAGCGGAAAGCTCCCCATGAATTTCGCGAACGCGCGATACTCTTCGACTTTCCAGGGCGGTGCAGAACCATGGAATTTTTCGCGACTCCATATCGGCACCATCCGATCACTCGAGCCGTGTAGCTTGTCGCAAGTCGGAAGTCCAGACGAGCTCGAAAAAATCGAATTTACCCACTACCGCCGATTTTCGGAAGATTCTACATTGAACGCTTTGAAACAGCTAGATAGATCTGGGGTTTGGGAGGCGCTTGTACTCGAGGGACGCAGGCGGGTAATGGGCCATTACTGGTTCCTCTGGGAAACATAAACACATCGGGGCTCAAGCCGGCAAAATCTTCGAGCATCTCGCGTTCAGCGAGGTGGTGTCTCGACTTGCTTGCTTTCGAGACTTCGTTTCCGAAGCTGCCGCACAGCGCTATTTTCGGAAAGTTCAACGTCTCACGATGGTCGGCGTGGGGGGATCGGCCCGACTAACTGACTGGCCGATTGACTATCCGAGTGCCTGAGCAACGTTCAACGTCACTAGGCTTCCCCAAAAGAAGGTATGCCCTCTTCGTATCTCACGAAATCTCCTCACTCGGGATCGGCCCCAAGGCTGCCGAGAAATTAGTCGGATCAGAGGAAGGAAACGCTACTGTCTGCAGTGTTGCAAGATGTTGTTCCGCTTCTTTATAGAGGCTTTTATGAATGCGTGGGAGGTAGGGAATGCAGCTTTATTGTAGGTGGCAACGAAGACAGCGAATGAGCCTGCATCCGCGTCTGCCGAGCTTCTGTCTTGCCACCGGGCAGCACAGCTCGCAGGAACTCGCACACGACTGGCTCTCCCGAAGTTTTTCATCCTCCCCGCTCTGTCCGCACCCCATCTCGCCCCATTATCTGGATCAGATTCGCGGTTTTTCGCTCGTGGGTCATGAGTCGTGAGCTATACCCAGAGAAATAATCGCCGACTCAATAGTCCGATTCGGTGATATGAACTCCAACCGAGGCGGTTTCTCGGGAGCTGCGGAAACATTCGGAAACGAGAATAAATAGGCAAGGAGGATTATGTCCGGGGCCAGACAGAACAACATGGCATCTTTTAAGCCGGGCATCGCTCGCGCTTCTGTGGCTTCTCGGAAGCAGCCGGGGGCCTCCGCATCTGGCGCATTTACACAGGGACCGCTGCGCAAATGCGGACCTTGAATCGGAAGCGAACCAAAGGCAAACCCGCCATTACCATCATCAGCATTTTCAGATCGTCAGACAAGAATAAAAAAAGGCTCCTACCGTATTCAGCCTTTAGCACGCATGAAAGCATAATGCTCCTGAATTCGAGCGAGTCAAGGTGCGAAAAGTCACCACGAACGACGACGTTCGCGGGGAAGCAGGCCACTTCTCGACTCGCATCCATTCCGCCACTCTGCATCGATTAATTTGCGCGTCAGCGGTTGTGGGTTCACTGTACCGGTCATCGAAGCACTCGTTGTGAGCTCCCGGTATACCGAGAGGCTAGAGGGCTGTAGGAGACAGTCGATCAGTCGAGAAGGGGGGTCTTGAGGCAGACTGCCAGCGAACCAGTCAGCCTCGAGGCAAGCCGAGCTAGTCAGGAATCGAGGGAACAACATACATATAATATTAATCGGGGAATGCGAGCATGCTCGCTTTTATGACATTGTTAATCAGAGCAGCTCGGGTCCAGTCGCTCTATTCATGGCTAGCCACTCGTTTCTGACCTCCTCCCAGATAAGCTCCAATGAGACAACGCTGACGCTCAGCCTGAAGTACTGCAGGGAAAACTCGTCCCGACTTCTGCCCGAGACGTCTCAATCCTCAAATCGTGTCCTGCTTTCAGTTCGATGCGCTCTTGTGACTTATGATGAAGTCAATGCTGCGAGGATCGATCTGATTCGAAACACTTCCGAAGCTGACTCCGAAAGGAATCATTAAAGTTCGAGTTCTGTCCATGCAAACGCACTCGGATTCTCTCGCTTGATCCCTTCTATTTCTATGAATTCTAGGAATCCTTCTACAAACTCGGGCACAGATGGACCCGCGTTCGATCTGGGTCTCATCTGATTCCTGAAGTTTCCGCGCGGCAAATCGTTGCGATATCAGGCATGAATGAATTGATTGGGGTAGGACGTAGGACCTCCGCAGGTTAGGGAGGTATCACTACCACAGTGGGTACGAGAGTCGTTTGTTGGCCGGTTCGCTTGCTTGCGCGAGACTCTCCGCTCAGTCCTGTCCGCTATATACAAGCTGTAAAATTAGCTGGATGTAATAAAAGCTAAAATCGCATTTTGGCCAGAGCGCCCTCCCCTATATACCACTAAGCCTCCAGTAGTTCCACCATAAGACTCCTTGGTCGCTGGCTACTCGCCAGCCTGCCCGCTTGCCCGCCGCGTACACGCTGGCTTTCGGGGGTGAAGCCATGGAGGCCGTGCCGGGATGGTGGTTCCTGATGGGGGCAGTTTTACGGCTTTTACATCGTTTTTCAAGAGCTACTCCTTCTGCTGGTTTTTCCTGCGGTTGTTTAAGTGCTGAGATTCTCTTAATCTCTTTGCGACGTCCAGCCCGGGTATGAGCTAGAGATGCTTCCCGGCTCCCTATAGATACGAGATACGAGCTCAAGACCGGTGTGAGGAGACTTCCGGAAAAAATAACTCCGCAAGTCATCACACGCTCCCGGGTGGCTTCTCGTCCTTCATCAGATGGGACCCTCCAAAACGTCTCCCAGTAGAATTTTGAGGATTCGCAGTGCCAGTACAGCCCTGAGCTGCTGGTTCGAGCCTCGTGAGTGTTCGGAGCAGAAACTATTCAGGGAATGGTGTTTCGGAGCCAAACCTGGATTTTCACTCTGAATGATCGGTGGGTTGACTCGAAGGTTGGCCGCTTCGTCGGTTGCTCGGTCGCTAGCGGCTGCTATTTCTTCAGTCAAGGAGGAAGCAAGAGTGTTTTTTATGAGCGAGATTGGACTTTTCGAACGAAGTTGCGAACTCCCTCTGAACCGACGGCTCATGTACGAGAGGGAGACAACAGCCGGCCGTGGCTTTGTGTTGAGAATCTTCCTCGCAGCCAAGTGACAGCGAACGACTGCCCGGTTGAATAAAACCCACCGTGTTATTTGTCTGATCGAGGAAAACCCTTCCCCAAAGACATGCCCCGCTACACTTTTTGGACATTAGGGTAGCCATCAGCCCTAGTGGAACAAACTTCAGACCTCGATATAGACAAATGCGAGGAGCGAGACCAAGGAATCCGTCCCGAATAGGTTGCAGAGAAAATCGACGTGATGTTTCGTGTTCTCAATACTCCAATGCGCGCGCTTTACGACCTTCGAGTTCGGCCATCGTCGAGCCAATAAAATGCTTTTTACTTCATATTATTTTCCTCTTTATCTGGAGCAATAAAAATTATCTTCCGAACGGAATTTCCGAGATTGCGACTCTTGCAACTTTGCCCCTGGCCAAAAGACCCGATTACAGGTGAATGATCGAGCTCCTGAAGCGAATCTGGGAGGCGAAATCGATTGACTGGACGGTTCCGAATCGACCGGGATGGAGAATATCCGATGAATAAGTTGCCAGTTGTTAGCATTGGTGACTAGCTCGACCAAAATGTCGCGCACCGCGACTGTTCTCTGCAGCTGCGGAAGCCAGGGTTCGTCATTGTTCTCTGGTAGGTAGTAGTGAATACTCCTTTTGTGTAGCAGCTCTCGAGCGCATTCGATGAATGGAGGAAACACGTTCCCACCAATGCGGACGTTTCGATGTTTTTGTTTCCGAGTCGAAGAAACCACTCGACGCATATCGAGACAAACTTCGAAAACAAAGAGCCTCCTCGATGAGAGGAAATAGCGATGAAGATTTTTCTGTCAAGAGTCGGAGACTCTCTTAGAGGGAGAACAACAGTCTTTTTCTCAACTACTCCCGAGGAACATCGGGATTCATTTGCCTCTCGGCGGCGAAAAATTCCAATCACAATCTACTCGGAACACCGGATACATTTCGCGTGTTCTATCGATGTACTCACCGGCAATGGCCATCCAAGGGTAGAATGTGTTAGGGTTCGTTCCTCCACCGGTGACTCCGGCTACGCTCGTCCCGCCAGGAGACGTTGCCTGTCCGCTGTTCCAGTTTGAATCGAAACCACCAAGTCGATTACCTCCGGATTGGTTCCATCCGGCCAACGCGGCGATATCCTGTCGGAAATCTTTCATGAAATTCTTCTGCTCAAGACTCCCACCGAGACTGGAATTGATGGCGGCGGCCGAGGCGGAGGACGTCTTGAAATCATAAGATGAGCTTTTGTCGGTTTCATAGGGAGGTGAATTCCGTTCAGAGCTCTCCGGCCGGGTGGACGAGACGCCATTTTGTGGGGTGCTTGGCTGAGAAGCCGTCGGCAGACCATTGCTGTTTGTGGCGGCGGCGGCCGAGCTAGATACGGATCCGTAGGGAGGCACCAGAAGATTGAAGCCTCGATATTGGTCGTTTTGGGACGCTGGCGAGCTGTTCACTTGAGCTTGGTTCCCGAAGTAGCCCAAGGGGGTGGCGCTCGGTTCGAAATAGGCATTCATTTTTCCCCGATCTCAGTGAGCGCACAAGGAGGATATTCCGCCAGCTGGGGTTCTGTTCGTCTCTTGGAGGTCTCGACGTGGGGATCGGTGCGCTGATTGATGATCACTTTCACTGACTCAGTACCGAATTCACGGATGGAGACGATTGCACTTTTCCTCAGCGGCGCGATTGATGCTGTTGATTTCCGATTTCTCTCACTGAATGGTATTAATAATCATGAGGAGGAAGCTCGGGTATCAGCATGAAGACGATGAAGATCCGATGACGGATGCGGCTAATCCGAACGTCGATATAGACCACGGATAGACAACTCTGTCAGCGTAGTGGACGTTTGTAAAGTTACGTATGTGGTTGAAGGTCAAAACTTGGGCAAAATACGTATATTTGCGGTTTTGGTTGATTGGCACTTTTTACGTATATCGGTTGAGTGAATAAGGAAGTTTCCTAGTGCTACGACATTCGATTGCTGCTAGCTGCTCCGCGCTCCAACTGGTCTATGCGCTAAGCTTTCGGTTGGCGGTTGGCGGCTCTCGCGGTGTCCACGACAGCTCCGACTTGAGTAGCCCTTTTCGCTCCGTCTTATCTAGGGTATTATTGTCGTGGATCGTTCCTCACTGGTTTTTCGCACAGTCGATAAACTCCGTTGTGCTATCACAAGCCTTGTTCCGAATCTTCCGGTGCATCAACATTGTAACAAACTTTCTAGGTATAGAGCGCAACCGCGTTCTCTTCGGGCTCAGCGAGCGGACACTGAGGGAAGCTTCCAAAGGCCGCTTTGTCCCGTTGGTGAGCCGAACGAGTGGGCTATTCCGTTTTCGAAAAACGCTCGCGAGCGGAGAAAGGATGCACGAAATAGATGCACAACACTGCGGAGTCACACTGGAGACTCCGGACTCGAAACTTCTCTGAGGAAATGTCGTGCGATTTCTCGCCACATACGGCTGCTTGCGCAAACCGATCAGCCGCTTGTACGGCTCACGGAACGGCCTTAACGCACCACCACCACCGCCAGCAGCAGCAGTTGTTGTAGCAACGACCGCTTTTGTCGCGATTTGAGGGCAAATTCGCGCACGAGTATGAGTCGTCGCGCGACTCGCTGGATATAACGCGTATGATGGCACATAAAGAACCCCTAATGGTCCATTACACGAATGCTAAGAAAAAAACAGCTGACCCCGCCTTTCTTCTTAGGGACCGCCCGCGAAAGTGGCGCCCTCTGTCGCTTCGATAGCATTATGGCGTCGGTTGAGGGATGTCGGGCGTAAGGCGCACTGAGGGTTCTTTGATAGAGACCACGGTTCCACTTCCCGAGTTTCTCGACCACGGCAAGCTAAGAGCCCTCGATTCGGAGGGAGGTGAAAAAGAATACAACGGCAGCGGTAGCGGCCGCACAAGAGCGAATAACCACAGAAGAAAACCCAACCGAGAAACCAGACGAAAGGGAGGTCTCTCAGGTGGAGAACATTATCACTATTTTGATGAGCTACTCCTTTGATTCTCGTTCGTTATGAACCCGGTGATCATTACCTCTCCCGACCTCGGACCTTCTCCGATTCGGAGGAACCGAGTCAATCGTTCGTTCGCAAGTAGCGGAGGGTCGCCGCGAGAATGCCGTAACCGTCATTGACAGGTCTTCCATCGACTGGGACACGACGGCGGAGGGAAGAATTAAGCGCTCGACTTCTTCGATGGATACAAGGAATGGATCGAACATTCCGGCATCTCGAGGAAAATTGAGCTCTCGTTCTCGATACGGATGACCAGCCCTCTGAGTTATCAGTCAGCTGTCAGAGCTGAAAAGATCGGCATTGCACTGCGGTGGAAATGCCGTGTTCGAGTAAATAACGACGCCGCAGTGAGAGCCAGTCTGGTTCTCATCAAGTAGGGGATTAAAGCGAAGAAAAAGAAAACGGGTTGTTAAATGGACTCGCTCGCTGTTTGGCGGCAACGTAAAACCGAGAAGGAGGCAGCCGCGAATCAGGCTGTCTATCTGTCTCCTGGTCGGTCGGCAGTCTAGTCCCCTGACTGTGGGCCCGCACTCGAGCACTTTCCGTCCGGGAGTCGGCCAGCGAGCAAGCTGTAACGGACCGGGTCCCGTTTCTGACAAGGCTCATGCATGAAGGACTTTACGACTATTCGAGTGCAGAGAACCGTCTCCTGATTGACGAGTATCGAGGATCTCATTCGAGGCAGCGAGCCCCTCCGTCAACGCTGTGAACTTCGCGATTCCGGAATCGCCCCACCGCAGAAATTCGCAAGGCTGCAGACACGGACAGATTCTCGGACATTTGGAATATCTCAGGATCATCATTCATAATTGGCATTGTGTTCTGTAGGGCATGCGATTCCTGACAAGTTGCGGGCACCGTGAATCCATACATTCCATACGAAGAATTTCCGGGTCGGTATCCAGCTCTCCATCCTGAATGTTTTCGGCTCCAGGCAGCGACACGAACTTCCCACATCTACGCTGAATTGAGCGCAGAATAATTTCAGTTCAAGCCGTTCAGATGTAGACAGGCAAATCATGCCGGTTCCGAGAGCCAGCACTCGACAGCGTGCATTCAACGGAAAACATAAGACATCAATGCGGTCGCTTTACTGACAGTCGGGGAGGGCTCAAGATGTGCAAGCTCGAACGGAGTAAAGAGCCCCGACGGGGATTCTCCTACCTAGATGAATGTCCCAGATCGGAATTTGGCTTGAACTGGGAGTTTCGAGTTCGTCAGGTGGTCAGACATGTCCCTGGGACGATCCTCGAGTCGCGGCATCGTTCAGGGAAAATTTGCGTGGACAATAACCGCTAATTTCAAAATGATCGAGCCAATGGCTCCCGACTTTCTAATATGTCTGGCGGAGGATATGCAGATTTTTTCCCTCTCTCAGAGTTCTTCCTTCCATTAGACTTCTCTTCGGGGAAGCGAAAATCATCTATCCTCGCCGCAAACTCGATGAGAGGACAAAGGTCAGCGCACGACTCCAAGAGCTCAGTCGAATGCCGCGAATTTTTTGCACTCTGGCGCGAATTCATATGCTCCCATCCAGAGAGTCGCTGTCTTTTCGGACAGGTGGGGGTCGACTCTTCCGACATTGTCGATATTATCAGTGATCGGATTTTGGATAGAATTACGGACATCCTACCGATCTATCATCTTGTCTCTGTGCTCATCGAGATTGACAGTGAATTTGCCGTGCTCAGGACGCCTTATCGCTCCGGACTCAGTATTCCGAGCCGAGGCACACTATATGACGTGGGAGCTGACCTGGAAGTTCTCTCCTGTTTTGAGTGCTCGATTCCCGCTCAAGGATTCTGGAATTGCTGCGAAATCAGGCACGTCTAGCTATCTCATATCCCTCAATAGAACAAAATAGCGATGTCTGTCACCGCAGCAATTTCTCCGGCTTTCCTTCTCTGAAGAGACTTCAAACTTTTTCACTCGATGCCCAATCACCTCAGTGAGCTCAAGATATTCTTCTCAGGCGCATTCTTACGGCAGCATTAGCGTGTTTCTCTAGTCATCCTCACTTATTAGCGAATGTAAAGCCCTTTCACTTTGATGACATCACAGCCCTACTGGCATGTGAGGACCTGAAGCGCCCTCCATGCTAGTTCATCATGGTCGAGGACCCGACCGGGATCTGTGATCTATCACGAGGAGTCTTCCGGCCATCGCCTAGTTTCACTCGCGAGGACGCTCTTGGAGTAACACAACGAGGCCAGAAAGCCCAAGTGGATACTCCAGAGTAAGACGCAGAAGTCGCCACATAGATTGCCTGATAGGAAGCGCCGGAAGGATCCCAGAACCACACAAGATGCAGATAAGGCGCGTCACGTGCTCTAGACTCTGTTCAAACAGTCTGAGATCACTTTATTGGAGCAGGAGGGCTGAGTTCTAGATATTGGCGAATTTTCGGTGAGACCGTCAGCCTCGAGTGAAATAGGTCCCCCGCTCGATCGATGAGATTTCATATTCAGTCCTTCGATAGGTGGATCTGATCGCTCTCGTCGGCTCGCAAAGAGATTGACACCGATGCCCGAACACGCTGCCAGCTCAATCAAACATTGTACACGTCGCCGATGGAGTATCTCTCTCGGCATACAGCTCTAGCGCACCACAACTCTGCTCAAAGGAGAGCGGAAAAAAAATGGAGATACGTAGAGTACCGCAAGAAGCCGGAATGAATATAAATAAACTCCCACTGTTCCGGAGTGAATAGACGAGAGGAATCGCCCGATCTGATACACTAAGAATTGATGAACTCAGTCGTGATCTCCGAGTGGCTTTTCTCTCGTCGAGAAACGACCGGCCGAGCGAGTCACGACCGACACTGCCACTTACCGTTGAAATGAACAGCGGATAACCATTATTGAACACTTTACGACGAAATCTTTTTTAGACGCTATTCGAGCTCGATCAAAGCACCTCGTCAACGTCAAGCGACCATTTCGTCCGCGCTCAACAAAAACGGAGGCATCGAAGGGGAATTTTTCATGGGCACCCTCCCGCCGGAAACTACGACTGCTTCACTTCGTCAGGTATCCGAGCGAAGTCATACAAAAATGAGGAAAAAGGGAGACAGAGGGAGAAGCAGCCTCAGTGAGGAATCTGGATGTTCCCTGTGTATTTGGTCTCTGGGAATCCGGATTATCAGTTCCGAGTTTCAACATGTGGCTTGCCAAGCCGAATGGGGAGGCTCGAGGCGGAGAAATTTTCTCGGAGCGCGTTTCATGATTCGGCTGGAACGCCATAACAACGGGCATGATTCCCAATCAGGACGTTCAATCAGCAAGGAGCGTCGAACTTATTAGCTCGGAACGCAGAACTGGGTACGCGTCACGTTCCCTGATGTGTGATGAACAGCACTCGTGTTATTTATATCACGATCAAACGAGTTCGACGACTTGAGTGCTCCTCTGTAGGTTTGGATAAAGGACGATGATATTCATGCGCAGTTCGAGAAAGTAGGGCGATCTAGCAAAGGTGACTGCGCCGTGCCCCCAGAGCACCCGGACGGCACTCGTAGCCATGATGAGTCGCAACAGCGAATTTCCGATGAGTTCGGGTGCTGATGACGTCTCGATGTCCCAATCGGTCATTCAGTGAACGAATTCGAGTATTTCTGAAAGGCCCTATAATAG